TTGATCTTATGAAAGACAAAACCGTGAAAAGCGAACTTTCTCGTCATGGCAGCACAAACTCTGGAACCCCTCTGGATTGTAAGAAAAGACTGAAGAAAGTTGCGAAAGCATGTCACAAACGCCTGAGCACGCTTCTTGCTGAGCCTCCAGTAGTCTCAGCTGAGCCCGAATGCGTTACCCATTCCCTCCAAACTTTGGAAAACTCTGTTATTGATCTACAATCCAAAATAAGTCTACAACATAGCACCCTCCAAACACTTGTCTTATGTTCTGACAGTAATTCCAATCAAAAAGTTAGTGCCAGCCCCCCTAACCTGTCTAATGAACTCAACACTATGGACAAGAGACTTGAAAAGTTAGAGGATATAATGAGCAGCATAAACGAAAAACAACATGAAACTGCCACCTCCCTTAAAGCCTTCGAAGCAGATGTCACTGCAATTAAGAACAAAGTAGATGACTCTAAGGCCTGCCTACAGTCTCTCCAGCTTAATGACCGCACCAACCCATCAAGAAAAAAGCCATCGCCTCATCCTCAAAACCAGAACCACCCAACCCACAGCCCTAGTAGACAAACGCGAAAACCGAAAAAGGTTCTACTCCTACATGACTCCCAGATGAACAACTTTCTACCTGAGTCATTTTCCTCTGGGTTCAAGGTGGAAAAAATGAAAGTAGGCTCTTATACTGACATGATAAAAGACCACTGTATGAGAGATGTCATTAAACAGCCAGAGGTCGACTGTTACATTCTCCAGCTTGGAGTCAACGACTACAGATACAGAACCTGCTCTGTTAATAAAGCGATTGAGGATGCAAAATCAGTCATCGATAAACTCCTCTCGAGCTCCAGCGCAAAGGTTGTCATCTCCCTACCCACCCCAACCCCTGGATTAATCAGTGAACTTACCAACCAATTTGTCTCAGAAATAACACAATTTGTCTCAGCTAAAAGAGGGTTAAGTGACTTTTACCGCCGCCTATATACTGTAAACAATACTGGAAACTTTTCCCGTGCCATCTCTGCTGCTGAGTCATCCCAAGACTCTCCTAACCCGTTGAAGGAGGACCAACTCCATGTCTCAGAGTATGGTTTGAAAAAACTTTGTTTGAATATTAAACTTGGCCTATACCGTGCCTTTGGTATGAGATCCCCTAGAAAGCAGCCCCCTACAGAGCGTTAGATTAACCCTAAAATTCAAGAAAAAACAAGTATCACGAGATCAAGTCGCTGTGATGTCCTGGAACATCCAGGACAGCACAGGAGACGGGTCTAACAAATTTGAAAATAGCGAATTTTTGTCAATCCTCAAACAAGCTAACATTCTTTGTCTCCAAGAAACAAAGAAGCAAGTTAAGATTGAAGGATACCTCTCTTTTAATAGCAACCGCAAAAATTCACGCTCAGGAGGGGTCTGCATTCTTGCTGAAAATGGCCTAAGAAAAGGTGTCTCTAGTGTGCTTTGTAATGAATCTGATGACATTATTGTTGCTAAACTGGACAAGAACTTTTTTAAACTTGATTTTGACCTATTTTTGGTATGTTATTATATTAGCCCTGCATACTCGTCCTATGTCAAGAAGAATCCAGATTATACTGCTAATACCTTCTCTGCTCTTGACTCTATCTGTATCAGACTACGTCAAAAGGGAGAAGTTATTATGTGTGGCGATGCAAATGCAAGAACTGGAAAACTCCCAGACTATATCCTTTCCTGTAATGCACCTGCCATCCATGACATCTATAACGACATTGGACTCGAGCACGACATAGAAGAACCAAGAAATAATTCTGACCTTACAATATCTGAACCCCACTGCCAACACTTTCTTGACATGGTTATCAATAACCAACTCAAAATTCTTAATGGTCGTACCCTTGGGGACACCACTGGAAAAATGACCTGTCACAAATACAATGGAAGCAGTGTGGTTGACTATTTTGTAATCACCTCATGGGCAAGAGATCATGTAAACTCTCTCCAAGTAAAAGAGTTTACATCATACTCTGATCATTGTCCATTAGTCTTGAAACTCACTACATTTGAACCATTTGTCGCAAACTTCCAGCTCCCAGACTTTTCTAACTTTCCTTGTGGCTATAAGTGGGATAGCAACACCTCCCATTCACTATTTAAAAAAGCCCTTACCTCGCCCGAAATTATCAACAATCTGGAAAGCATTGTGACAAATGAATTTAGCAGTACTCTGGAGGGCAATCACGAACTGAACGATGCAGTCATAAAATGTCTCCACAGTGCTGCTGATATAGCCTTAAAAGTGAAAAAGCCTCCCAAAAATTCTGCCCGTAAGAAATGGTTCGACCCACAAGTCAACTCCTCACGGCGGAACCTAAATAGGCTAGCAAACCGGCTTGGTAGTAAGCACTGTAACTGTATCCTCAGACGAGAATACTTTAAGCAACGCAACAAGCATAGCAATTTTGTAAACAGTAAGAAAGTAGCTTTCCTTAAGAAGTTAAATGAAGCTATAGAAGAAGGTCACATACTCGACTGGAAAAAATTTAAACGGCTTAAACAAGAACATGACACTAGCCCCTTACTTGACAAATTTGATTTAGCTAGCTTCCATGACTTCTTTGCATCCCTTTATAAAAAACCAGACCAGGAGCCAGATCTCACTCACCACAATCACAAACATTACCCTGAACCACCAGATCTGGATATCCTAAATAAGCTCATGTCAGAATCTGAAGTGACCTCTGCCATCAAAAATCTCAAAAAAGGTAAAAGTTGCTCAAACGACTTGATATCCAACGAGATGCTTCAGAGCGTAACTCCGCTTTGTCTCAAAGCCATCCTCAAAAACTTCAACCACTCACTGGTCTCTGGTTACTATCCATGGCACACCAGCATCATTACTCCTATTTACAAGTCTGGCAACCCTTTCAGCCCGGACAACTACAGAGCAATAGCTGTTGGTAGCTGTATGGGTAAACTATTTTCTAGCATCTTACTTGAGCGTCTCCTGCACTTCAAAAAGCTCTACTGCCCTGACCCAAAAGAACAACTAGGGTTCTCGAAGGGTGCTCAAACAAATGACCACGTTTTTACCCTTAAGACAGTCATTGACAAATATACCAAGGTTAAGAAAGCTCGCCTCTATGCATGCTTTGTTGATCTAAGAAAGGCCTTTGACACTGTATGTAGGGACCTCCTTCTGCACAAAATCACATGCCTTGGAATAACTGGAAACTTCTTCAATTGCCTAAGTGATATGTATAGAAACTCAATAGCTCATATAAAAATCTCCAAACTCTTGTCCCCTAATATTGACATTGGAAAAGGAACAGAGCAGGGACACCCCCTATCACCGGACCTTTTTAAAATCTATATCAACGACTTGTCATCTCTCCTGAAATCTGTTGGTGATTATCCTATTCTAGCTGACGTCCTAATATCACATCTGCTCTGGGCTGACGATCTTGTCCTACTTGCCCTAAGTCCCAAGGCCTTGCAAGACAATATAAACATCCTATTCGACTTCTGTAACTCTATGGGCCTTGAAGTAAACATTAAAAAAACCAAGATTCTCATATTCTGCCCTCCTAAAAGAAAACAATCCTATGAAACATTCATTTTGGGAGGCCAGCCCATCCAACACACCGAAAAATACTGCTATCTTGGCATTATATTCCACAGAAATGGATCTTTTACAGCAGCAAATACTGAACTGAGGGCCAAGGCTCTCCGTGCTCTCTATGGCCTCAAAGGCAATATCGTCAAAGATGCCCTCTCTCACCGTTCCCTAAACATTCTATTTGACTCTCTAATAAAACCGATACTGCTCTATGGCTGCCAAATCTTATGTCCTCACTCAAAAACCATGAGATACCTCTCCAAAACAGATAGCAAAGCCAACCCCCAGCATACTCTCAGGTACATCTCACAAGACCACTATGAAAGATTCCACCTTAAGTTTATCAAGTGGTCCTTGTCTGTCCATTCAAAAGCATCAAATATAGGCTGCTGGGGCGAAAGTGGGCGCCACCCCCTCTTCTTTGAAGCCTGCAAACTTGCAATAGATTTCTATAGTCGTCTTGAAAGCACTGAAAATGAACTTCTCTCCGCTGCATTTCACGAGCAGATTATGCTGGGCCTTCCTTGGTACACCAACATCTCTAATCTTCTCACCAAATATAACTTCCCCCACTCATCCTCTTCAAAATCCAAGCTCTCTACCCAAATCAGTCACAACATGAGGGAAGAATTTGTGGATACCTGGAAATCTGCCAAGGCATCCTCACCTAAATTAGAATTCTACAATCAAATTAAACATGATTTTGAACCAGAAACATACTTAGGAGTGGTTAAGATCCCCGATGCTCGGAAAAGCTTAACAAGGTTTCGTATTAGCTGCCACAATCTTTACATTGAGAGGGGCCGTTACGAAACCCCCCTAGTACCAAGAGAACATCGATGGTGCACTTTTTGCTTTCTCAGCAAGGGGCTTAAGCCTATTGAGGACGAAATTCATGTTCTAACTGACTGTTTACTCTACTCCTCAGTTAGAGAAAAATTTAACTTCCATCCCAAAAATATTACTGACCTAGCCGGTTTGCTATCCGATAAAACACTAGACCCTACAAAATTTACTGCCACAGCAAGAGCAATCCATTCAATTCTCTCTGTGAACGAACATTTTACAGCCTACTATAAGAGCCCAGATTTCCACTCAAATACTGGCCAATGCATAATGCTATAGGACCTCAAAAATAGTATTATAAAACATTTCTATTTTATCCCTACACATTTGTAAATAACTAGAATTGTGTAACCTTAAATTATTTCAGAATTATAACTATTGTGAATTCAATAAAATAATTATCACTTTTGTATCCTTGTATCCTTGTATCCTTGTATCCTAAGTGTCACATATTACGTGACTTGATAGTAAAACCAACCTCTGCAAACTATCTAGTCACGTGATGGTGAAACCTACCTCTCCGAGGTATTTAGTCACGTGACAGTGAAACTTACCTCTCCGAGGTATTTAGTGACCACGTTTCCACCCATACTGAATCCCAGGAGTATTTTAGGGGAAGTGGGATATCTCTCTTTAATGATATCCACCAGTCGAGATAGTTCTTCTGTGTGACCGTACCTGGATGAGTTTTGAGTAAGTTTTGAGTAAGTTTTGCGATAAAATACCTATTAATAGGCAGTAAAACTAGCGGGCTGTGATGAATGGGGGGGGACTTGCGATCCCATGGCAACATTAAATATGTTAAATATGTTAACTTGTTATATATATTATTATGATATCGCTTCCTCGAATTGTTTGTTATATACTTTTCCCCCAAACTTTAAATTAACGAAGTCGTTTTGTGCAATAAATGTGATTTATCATAGCCCATATTATCACACGTGGTGGCGATTTGATTACATATTCAATCACAATACCATACAGTAGTGCAATGTGCGTATAAGGCTCTATACTTCTATACAATGGAGGGGGTACCTATACCCCCCCCCCCCCCCCCATGGAGTATATGGAACGCTTGGCAGGTTATTTGAGTGGCTACAGATACTGAGAAAACCTATACCGGGGTGTTTCTATACCGTGCACGTTTCGTTTCCCCCGAGAAGCACGGTATATAGAGCTAGAGGTTTCACTGGATAAATAATAAATAAATTCTAACGTTTATTACACGCTTCGACATTAAAATATACCCAACAAAGATGTACATTTAAGTCATTCAAGCGAGACTAAGTGTTGAAATACCAGGATAATGGACTTTTTCAAACAGTTCAGACTTATGAACAATAAGCAAAGGAGAGATCCAGCTTCAGTTTCGCCACCAGATTAATTAGAAGTCGGTATATGGCCAACGATTTTACAGTATGTGTTATTTTTCTCTGAATATCGTGAGAAACAAAGCTGTCAGCAGATGCATCAAGATTGGTAGACATTTACGGATTCCCAGCTTCAATTTCACAACTAGATTATAAATTAGAAGTCGGTATTTGGCCAGTACGTGATGTTCTCCTGCACGGTTTCAACTTTCAGACTTTCATAATCACACATATATACACTACCGGCAGCTGTTAAAATGTTCATATTTACAAATGTGATACTTTTTTAATCTGTTTAAATTGAGGAATGTAAGCTGTTAAGATAATATTATGAGGTGCAGGAACAGTTCATCTAGGTACTACACTCACGTACTGTACCAAAACGGCCATATTTTCAATGAATGTAGCATTTTTGGGGAATTACCGGAATTGATATTATCATTAATATCATTTAAATTTCCTTTCACAATTTGTATGGCTTATTAACCTGAATATGTAAGTGTATAATTTCTTTGTTGTATCTGAGAAAGAGATAATATGTATAATACTTAATTATAAACGTCTGTGCCAGTTTCCCTGTCTTGATTTAGAATCTTTCCTATCACCATAAAGTTAAAATTGGACTGTAATGTATGTGGACCGGACAAGTCAAATCTACGATTAATAATGAACATTGCATGGAACCTTGCTGTAGACGATTTACACATGTATTTTGAAAGCTCCTGCTAAAACAAACTTCTCGTATCTATTATACCTTAGGGCTAATAAATTTGGTTCACAATAAATTTGGTTGCCATAATTTTGGTTACCATAATTTTAGTCACAAATTTCGCAAATTTTTAGTCTGCAACAAATTTAGTCACATTTTTCGACTTTTGGAGACCATTTTCCATTCCATTTACGACACAGGTTAGTCTACCTCGTCTGAGCATTTCAGATTAAGCTGCAATGCATTACTCAGGAATTTCAATAAAATCAGATCCAGAGTTTGTGACTCTGTATCACTAAGTTTTTCAGTACACTGCTCAGTTTCTTTTTCACCCTTTTTCGACTTTACCATTTCTGTCGGTACGACGTAGTTTATGTCGATATGATCCTTCAGCTGTTTCAACAGAGCATGCATTGGGATGGATCGGATTAAAAATGTAATGTTCAAGAGAATCTCTAACCCTTTAAGTGCAATAGGACTTTGGTACGGTTTTGTGCAGTAGGAACGGTGATGTCATTTTATCAATCATAAAGCCCTATAAACAATGTAAGCTTAATAATATTCAATATTCATGTCATATATGCTATACTGAAATTTTGGTCTGCTTTAAAATTAGTCGCCGTAAAATTTAGTCTCATGAAATTTGGTTTACAAAAATTTTGGTCAAAAGTTTGACTAAATTTATGGTAGACTAAATTTGTCGGTATATATGTATGTTTCAAAACAAATCCCCTCCAAGCTTGCATGGAAACCAACCAAAACGTTAAAATGCCCCATCAGCTGCAAAAGCCGCTTATGGTCAAAAGAACAACTGTAAAACGTAAGGTTTCGTGTCAACTGTAGCCACTTACAGGTATGAGAAATAATAATACTTAGAATCCAGCCGTACCGGCTATATCTTCTAGAAATTGCATTTCGTCTTATTGTCAGGTTATGGGAGTATTTACTTGGAAGTCTTAAGTCGTCATAATAATAGTATAATGGACCATCATACTGCATCATAATGTATTCGTCATTTCGTCTGTTATCTGGGCACAAATTTCCATTGCTTTTAAAATTACAATCATTATCTAATATCTAAGCATAATTTTACAATATTTTACTACCGCGCAATTATTCAACTAACTCTCTAACTCTCTAAACGAAATGTGAAAAATTCTCTGAACTCAAAAGTCAAAAGTATAGTACCGAAGTCGGAAGATGCTACAATCTTTAATTCCTTTATTTAAAACGGTACAGGACAAAATAATAATAATTAAGAATAGTTACCGCTCAATTATACAATTCGCTCTCAAAACGAGATGTGAAACATTCTAGAAATGTGAAGCATTCTAGAGACTCAATTGATTAAAAGATTAAAAGTTTACCCGAAGATGCGGGGGGATGTGATAGGGTAATCCTTGAGGGAGCCCAGGTGGTTGAGACACACTACTCTGTACCCGGCACCAAGGCAGCTGCGGACAAACGTCTTTATGTACAGCTTCTCACTGGTGTTGTTTATACCTGGGGACAATTCGTTAATTAGCTTAATTAGTGGTTAATTAATTAGTTTCGCTGATATATTAATTAGATGGTAGGTAAGGTGACTACAGACTAGGTGAGTAGATTGTTTTTGTCATTTATCAGTGTCATTGCTTATTGTGTTAAGTATAAAAACTCGATACATTTATTACAATATCTTATGACATAAAGGTTTTTCTCGGGTCGATAAATAAAATTGAGTAGATTGATGATTTGTTGTGTAAATTCTGTTGAATCTTTGGCGGTTTCTAACAATTTCCTTGGAAAATATTTACGTCATTTGCGCCAGTACCCAAAATTATAGAGATTTTGTTCGTGAGAAAATGACAAAATTTCATTTTCAAGTAATCAACACCCTCAAATTCTCTTGACTCAAGACTGCCAGATCTCCACAGCAGTTCATCAGAAACTGAATTAATTAAGATGCGATAAAAACCACTTTATTCTACAGAATAATCACTTTGTTCTACAGAAGAACATTTGACACTTATAGAGATGAATATCAGGGTTCACTGTTCAGTGTTGGTAACACGACATCTGTCCGACAGCACTATTTTCTTGAGTGTTTAAGGTGATATCTCAAATTTGGCACATAGAAACTCGCTCAAACTTACACCGATTATCCATCCTTTAACCACCATACTTTATGGAAAGTTTCAAGAAAATTGTACGGTAGGATCCGACATAAACTATTGTCCGAATAACCTAATTTCTGAGTCGGACAGATGTCGCTGTCGGACAGATGTCGCCCAATCGACACGACTTAGATACAATGAATTAAGGAGATACAATAACAATAGGAATAAGGAGAATCGCAAAATCAACTTATTCTACTGCGGAAGAACAGTATGAACAATAATACAATATGTATTATTATTTCATAATAATACATGTATAATTATGAAATATATGGGAGATACATTTCATGTTAACGACGCAGGTACAATGAAACGCGAACGGTCATCTTCATAGCTTTTCCCTTTTAAGTTTTATACTTAAGTTTTATAATTAAAATTAAACTTTCTCGGAAGGTGAACAATATCTGTTTTTAACACTCGAGATAGTGATTCTGGCTTTTTATTGGTCAATACTTGAAGCTGATTGGTTAATCACTGTCACGTGCTACTGTCTAATATCCAGATCCTTATAATCTCCCTGATACATCTTTACTTACACACCGTCAAATGTTCGTGACAGCTATTTCATCTTACTGCCATAAATTGCAACGTGGCAGCTTAAATAATATGAGGGCTAAGAACGTCAAACTGCGCATATTTTCGAAATATCAAAAATATCATAAAATTATTTGGCAGAATCCCGGCACGACGCCGTGGACTTCAACTGAAATATTATGTTACGGTGAAATTCCTCCTGAAATGTGCTGCAGTGGAATTGGAATGTGTTTTCTTACGCAATTAGCCCCATTAGGTTCCAATTAAAAGTAATGATCGAGCAATAACCTTTATAATGTTGTCACGTTATCCTATAATATAACGATGTTAACTGAAAGATTTGTGTTGGGTTTCTTGGATTCTGCTACTTATTTTACATACTATGGGCCTGTCAAGAATGGTTCTACCTCGAACATACAGACCTAGTTCAGTCCAAGAAGCGGCTTAAAATAAGGTCCCGCTCAATCCTTCATTAAAATTTTAGAATATTCTATATATTCTAGAACACTTCACAGAATAACTCCACACGATTTCTGGTTAGAGTACAAATATGTACACACACACACAAACAAACCTTGTGTCTGCTACGAGTGTGGCCATGTTATTCAGACTCCTGATAAGCAGTGAGAATGAGCAGCACTGAGCTAAATAGCTGCCTACCCAACGTGTCATCACAATATCAGATCTCACAGATAACCCTTACCAGTGAGTGACTTACACTCAACTTTACGAAAAGTAATGTCAAGCTGAGTAGGTACTAGGTATGTGAGTAGGTGCCGCATCTCTTTCTCTCTCTCTCTCTCTCTCTTACTCTTTCTCTCTCTCTCTCTCTCTTACTCTTTCTCTCTCTCTCTCTCTCTCTCTCTCTCTCTCTCTCTCTCTCTCTCTCTCTCTCTCTCTCTCTCTCTCTCTCTCTCTCTCTCTCTCTCTCTCTCTCTCTCTCTCTCTCTCTCTCTTTCTCTCTCTCTCTCTCTCTCTCTCTCTCTCTCTCTCTCTCTCTCTCTCTCTCTCTCTCTCTCTATCTTACTCTTTCTCTGCATGCTCTCATCCCGTACATTATTTAGGTGATACAACATTTAGGTGCTTCCCACCTCTTGTGTGATCTCATAATCACATGATAATGAGTTAATATGACACGATCACCTTATCAGATGTCAATATCAATGAATATACATTTTCTTCCGAAATAAAGCGATCGACTGTTTGAAGAAAGCAAAATAGAAAGTCAAATTGCATGTCAGAGTCCAATTTTAACTTCCTATTTCGTGATCTGGGTGGCGTATCTAATGACTGCAGTGTAACTGTAAGCAACAGGTAATGTAGAAACAGCAGATAATGTATTTTGTTGATATATTTTGATCATGAAGACTCTATTTCGAGACTTGTGACTCGACTATTTTCGGCTTTTTAAGGCCATCCACATTCCGAGCCATCCACAAGGGAGTATCACCTCAATAAATGTATTTTAAAGTAGTTGTGAAAATAGTTTAAAACTAGATTATCTTGGGGCGACTACGAATTAATACCATAATTACTGACTATAATAATATCATATATACCGCGCCGCCCTTCAATACGAAGCCTACATTTTTAAGCGTAAATCAGTCCATATTTAAGGAAAAATGTAGGCTTCATTAAAGAAGTGTGAACTACACAGATAGGTAAATAAGAAGTGTGCAGCATGTTCTCACAGTGTCTAACACGTTTGACAGTGTTAAAAGCGTGTTAACTTGTACGTGGCGTGTACTATAACAGATAAGTAGCTGAGATATTGCACATCTTTAAAACTGGAGACAATGTAGTTGCAATGTGCTAGTACTGTAGATCACAGCTGATGTGGACCTTGAGTAATGTAGTGTGATTTAATGCGCTGAAACGTTTCATCGCTGTTGAAATTGTGTGCATGAGTAATGTAATCTAGAGATGTATAAAAGTATATATTATATAAAGTATATATATGATAAGAAATGTTTTTTTGGGTAAATTTCTATTGATCCCGTTTGATGCGACAAGGAAAAGGCTCTTATCAGGAAAGGAATTATTCAACGTTTCAATGTGACAACATCGTATTCATGATCAAACGGGACCAACAGAAATACTACATTAATTGTGCAGTTAAATTTCCAAACGCTTGAACCATGTAACTCATTATAATTTAAGTATGTACTAAAACCACTCTTGGTGTTAGTTTTAAAGGACAATCAAATGGCAATCAAATGGCAATCTAATGAGGACCTACTTTTTAATCAACTAGGACAAGCACAGAGGACCTACCTTTCAAATGTGGGTAATTTTGATGATCCTCAGTTCGTATCTTGATAGAATACTTGTTAAAATATATAATGCATATAATCTAATTAAACTAATTACAACACTACAAATCTATTACATTTATTGAGTATTATGTAACGTGATGGAAATATTTTAAGCGGGTGATATCCTGTCCAAACCCAGGATACATGACATGAAGACTTTGTTGTAACTTTGTAAGAAAAGCATTAATATACTACTTAAGTTACACCTCAATTAACGTAACACCAAAGTTAAAGTTGAGTATCCAGATTCACGACATCATGTACCTTGATACCACATCAGGATCACTAGTCTTATGATTAGTCTATTATTCTTTTTCCTCTCACTTGTACCAACTCACTCGAACATACTACCATTAATAAACATAATATATTACAACACTACAAATCTATTACATTTATTGAGTATTATGTAACGCGATGGAAATATTTTAAGCGGGTGATATCCTGTCCAAACCCAGGATACAGAACACTGTATGTTGTAGACTTTGTTGTAACTTTGTATGAAAAGCATTAACCCCAGTAGATACAACAGGACTTAAGCCACGTGGTATGGCACCTTCATGTTAAAGATATGACATCACACATTAATAAAAATAATAATAAAATTTGGTAGCTTAAACACAAACTCTAAGCCCAGTGGATAAACCACAAAACTTATGCTCTATTGTGTGAAACAAAGATACTAGATCAAGATAACTATCAAGGAGTGTATGCATAGGACATAAAAAGTTTTGGAACGAAGATGACATGCTTATGAAGCGAGCTATCAGTCTAATTGCTAATAAGTTCAAAAAGATCATGACATTAGGTTGCATCCTAAACAGTTTAAGCAAATAACATAAAGTTATACTGTCAATTAATCGCTCATGCCGTAACTTTTCTTAAACAGGTGAGTTTTTAATAATGTTTTGAACAGATTAACATCAGAACAAGTCTTAATTTCAATTTATACACAATCATCAAGAAGGTTCTATATCATTCGGCTCTATCGTTTAGGGAAACTATTAATACTCAGCTGCAGCGTGTTATCATAGTAATTTCATATTAATTTGAGTTTTACTCTTTTGAATAGAAATGTGTTCCAATGTACACCGTGGTAAAGTGTGTAGTGTGTAGTTACTGCAGGATACAACATGTAATATAAATAATATGTAATAATGTACAGGGTGGCCCAGAATCAGCTATATAACAGTTTATATGCAAGAGTCTGTGGTCATATCTAAAACGGTCGTGTCTGGCTAAGTTACCCTAAGTGGACTGTGGACAGTATAGTTTGCACCTCTGACGCATGGTAGCTTGGACAAATATTTATGCAAACCTACATAATATTATACCTACACAGGTTTCATGGCAAATTATACAGCATTCCGAGAATATTCAGCATTCTAATGTGTGCTAAACTGGGCGGTATCCAAGAAACCCCACCACCAAAAGTAGATAAATTAAACTACTTTGTGTGGGACTTTATTGCGACAAAGGAAGAATGCTTTTTTTTCAGGTTTTAAGGAAATTGGTCTGAGCATTTTCCCTTTGTCGCAATACCCGGATTCATCAGAACTTTTCTTCAGAAACATCACAACAATGCGACTAATAAACACTGTTCCAATCCGGATATTACACTTTAGGTAATGGCTAGGGGAAGGTTAAAGTAAGGGTCCCCTAAGTCTAACTCTCTAACCATATCCCTGAAGTTGTCTACCCTTAGTGGTCGGCATGTTGGATACTGTCGTCAATTGCTACCCTGATCAGTCAATATAGTCACATGATCAGTAGTCAGTAGATCATGCTGCCATGCTGGTCCCACGTGCCTATATTCTGATATTATCATAGCGACTTAATACCACACCTCGAGCTCGAAGCCTTTCTTGAACGCTTTTAATCAATTCTTATATTGTATGGGTTTAATGAGGCCGCACATTAGATGATTGATTTTCAGCGATCCCGGAGGCCGGAAACACTTTCTGTTCAAATGAGTACTGATATTAATTTAAAAGGGGTCATTCATAAACGAAAACTCAGACTCAAATTGTGAGATAATCTTAGATTTTGAGATATATATTAGGTTTAGCTTATAGATATCGCTGAACATACCAAGCACAGTCTCACCTTGAGTAAGTTAAAACATAACGCGACAGTTACCACGCCACGTCGCGACAGTTACCACGCGACAGTTACCACGCGACAGTTACCACACGACAGTTACCACGCGACAGTTACCACGCGACAGTTACCACGCGACAGTTACCACGCGACAGTTACCACGCGACAGTTACCACGCGACAGTTACCACGCGACAGTTACCACGCGACAGTTACCACGCGACAGTTACCACGCGACAGTTACCACGCGACAGTTACCACGCGACAGTTACCACGCGACAGTTACGTCGCGACAGTTACCACGCGACAGTTACCACGCGACAGTTACCACGCGACAGTTACTTAAGTACCACAATCTCCAGGAAAAAGAAAAGAAACTATGGTTCATTGAATTGTACAAGACACAAGATATTATGTATCTTGATTCTTGATACGAAGTCCACGTCCTTATACGGCAGATATTGACAGGTTAACATTGAGAATTACATCATAATGTATAGGCACTTTCCCGGAATATGGAGCTAGCATGACATTCTTCGCGATCATGTTAAAAGTTACTTTAATTTCTTTTTCGCGGAAACCACAACTAGCATTTCCCAGAGGTACAAGAATCAATCTAGCACCATTAGAGTACCGGTTAGAGTACCGGTAGTAAAAATGACGTAAGAAGTTTTATAATACTGAAGTATTGTGCAATCTAGCATTCAGAAGTACAGACTTGAGGCTATATTATTATATGGTTTAAAAGTTACAGGTTCAGCACATTGTGATTACGTCACGTCAGCTCGGATCAACTAGAGAACTAGTTACAGCGGAATGTCAGCTAGCATTAGGGAGGATTATGTAATCCCCTTCATCGAGCTATCAATCAATAAGTCCGACTCATTTAATTAATCTACTAATTAGTGATGTAATATGTTAATTAGTGATGTAATCTACTAATTAGTGATGTAATATGTTAATTAGTGATGTAATCTACTAATTAGTGATGTAATATGTGTAGTTACCAGGTACTACTACTATAGTAGCGGTGGCTCTAGTAAAGGGGGGATCGAAGGTGTCGTAATACACTGTCGCTCCGTCATCCAACTTAAAACTCCGTCTTACCTGGAAAAATACGTTAAATAAAACGTTAAATTCATCTCAATCAAGCGATTTAATTTGTTATTATTAATTATTAAGTTACAGTGGTTCTGGTTAAATTGTAGTGATGACTTAATTCTAAATAACTATTTATAAATAGCGCATTATACATTGTAATAACTGCTTATATATGTAATATTCCAGATGTACCAATTGAATATAGTAAACCATTTCTCTAACATAGGATTAACGACTTATAATTAGTAATTTAGTAATTACTATTTTAGTAATTACTATTTTTAAACTGATTACATTAGTTGGTCTGTTTCTAAAATTAACAGCGTCGCGTACATCAAAAGTAACTTCTTAGCTATAAGAGATGATATTAAATATATTATTATATATTATAATATATAATATATTATAATATATAATTATCAAATATACTAATTATACTTAATTATACTTAATTATACAGATTAGATCCTTTAATTATACTTCAATTCTAACGGCTGAGATTTGGATGAATTTGTCTCTGACTCAGTCTGACTACAAGTTACCGATACGTCATGGTGTAGGTATTATTAATGAATACGAAATAAAACAACAAACCTAGCAACCGCTATCAAACCAAAATGTACGAATATTCTTCATTATTATAAATTACCTCCTAAACCAACAGTTGCAGTCTTACCTCTACTACTCTACTACTCCACTTACCTTTACACTGTGAAGTATAAATCATGCAGTATATAAGGTACTCAATACTCATTAATATAGAGATCTCTATTTAGTATCTATGTGGTGTTAATTAAAAGCTAGGATACCGGGGGGGGGGGGGATCAGGTACTAAGTTTCGTACGTGACGTCGACTAGGTGTAACTTTGGAATTTACAAAAAAGACCCACCCACCCCCTTCGCGGTACTAACTGTTTTTCTGGGAAATGAGCAGCAGACCCACCACTTAGTACAAAAATACTAACTGTGTTTTGGAGAAAATAATGACCCCCCCCCCCCCTCCCGAGGATACCTGTCAAAATGATCACACTGTATACTTATAGAGACCTATTTGTATAAAAGTAAAATATAACAAGCATTAATTTCAATACAATGTATATTGTATATAATCACGGTACTCTCACACTGTTCATCATTATCATTAATATGGAATTGGCCAAATCAAACACCTATAATATACGGTGTGAGCTCAATAAACCCATAGGATCATACACAAGAAACTCTGGACCACCCTACCCTGCATGTAATAAAGTAATCAATATTTAAAAAGTAATGAAATAGGGTAATAAATATTAAGATTTACCAAAGGAAGGAGGGGGTTGACACTGCGTCCCATCTTGCCGAGAACAGCAGTCTGCAGGTGCCCACTCCACCCCCACAGCAGGGTAGGTTTGTAGGGTTTAAAGAGACAGGGACACCGGTCTAACAACCTCTCCATCCAATCGCTCTGTGGTTAATGGACATGTCACGTGGTGTTTTGATTACGTCACGTAGTAATAACGACGCGTGAGTTTTTTGATGACGTCACGTGGTGTTGTAATAACGTCACGTGCTAAGTTTGTCTACCTGTTTGTAGAATAGAACAGGCGGCGCAGACGCCGAAGAGACAGCGTGCAGGTAATACGCTGCTACCGAGATTACGAGAAAGAGAAGTGAGATGTCTGTTTCTTCTGAATTCCAGTGATACCTGATTATTGGGAAACTTGTCACACTTATCATTTAAAATAATTACATATTGTTATCATCGTGGTTTTATCATGTTTTGCAGTTATCAGAAAAATGTGATATCTTTCCTTCCTAGGTCCTTCTATTATCATCACTGCAACTGGACATTTTTTTTGCTGAAAAATCAAGTACAATAAAAGAAGTTAAGAACTTAGGGGCAATTGGCATTGTACCTAGATAAAAAATAACAAAATTGTGTCCTACACAATAAAAACATGAACCTACCTTCTTAGTCCAAACATTAGGAAGAATATTATAAAGATCTTGAGCTTAGAAGCGAGACTGCTCCGTAACTTATCAGCTAATAGCCTCTGTCTCTCAAATAATAACTCTGACGCGTTTACGATGAGTCCTGTAGAGGATTGCTTAAGTGAATATACATTATACATTATACATTATACATATATTATTATGAACTGAAAATACTGATGTTTTAGTTCTACTACTGTTACGTAACTATTTTGTAAATCTTCATTTCGAGTATCGATTCTGGGAGAGTAAAAATAAGCTCCACTTATCAAGAATCATTAGGCAGTGTAAATATAGATGTAATAAATATTGTAGCAGGAATAACTAATTTGGTGGCTGAAATGTCACATGCCGGGAATTTCAAAAAGTCAATAATCTGTCTTAATGATTCAATCAAAATGTTTACTATTGTGAACTTAATGGAACTAACACCTTTAACATCGGTATATTTAATCTAAGACTATGTGTTTAGTAAACCATTATGAGAAGTTATAATAACAACGATAGCACTTTATAAATTATATTATATGTTATATATGATATAATATATTATACTATATTATATTAACTAATAGAACTAGGAAGAAGGTTCAGCAATATAGGATGATTGAGTACCCTGTAATAAATTCATACTGAGCGTAAAATTTACCGAAGCTGAAATTTCATATTATATGATTCGAATTATGAACGGTCCTTTGAAAATGTAGTATTATAAATATAACTCAGCAAACTTGCCTCTGAGCCGCTTCTCCTTGGATCGTAAGATAAACATGCTATGATGTCTAATAATCCTCATCACTAGAATCAATACTGCGCTATATAAATAATATCAGTCTGAACTCAAAGGTGGAAGCTTTAAAGTGCATATTTTAAAACACGGAGCAAGTTAGGAGCGAGATCACAAATTTACATTGAACATTTTCGTGTAAAAATCATTTGAAATTGTTACGAAAGCTGGTGAAGGTCTAAGGGAAATGAAATATGCAACAATTTCGAATAATCAATAAAGATATGATTTCAAAATTGAAGATCAGGTGATAGGATTTTGGACCACTGTGTTTTAAAACTTGTTCGTGTCACTTTTTAAAAGCCAGGCGATACTTCGGTGCCAGTGTTGACTACGTATCACTAACTCGGGTTAGTGCTTAATATAAAATATAATGCACTGAACAGAAAAGATCACATGCACGAATTACAGGATTTCTACCCTCTGAATTCTTAACATTCTCTTGTAATCCCTGGATGAATTAATAAATCTAAAAGACTATCACAATTCACAGTTTATTGCTTCTCCCAAATGATCTGTAATCCGACCAGGTAATTAATTTACCTTATAAGGTAATTAATTACCAGGTAATTAAATTCCTTATCTGACCAGGTATTATCATTATGAGGCTTACTTGCCACCTCTCTACTGATAGATATATTGTGATCTGAACTCTTGCAGAGCAGTGACGCACTGTGACTCGGGGAATTTCTATAAATGATATTATATAAGAGTGATATACGTTAAGGGTGGAGACACTCCGTTGCAGCTACGTTGACGTATGAGATGATGTATGTTTCAGGTTAGATTTAAATTGCACTGCTTAGGATGGCTTACGTAGCTGTACTAACGTAGGTGTAGAAACGTTGTAAATTCTATCTTCAACAATCAACATCTAACTTTTAAGCGAGTGAAGCAGTGAATTTAAATAGTTCATAAACTAAATAAACAAATATTAACTTGTTCCATAAAGTTACCTTGAAGTTGACATATCATATGAAATGAAGTACCAGGTAGATACTAGGTATCGGTTACTTCAACATCAATCTCATTGTGAAAAGCTGTGTTCATCAGTACAACACAATTGGTTATGCACAAGAAAGAGTACGGCAAAGAAAATGATATAACAACCCACTTTAAAAAAGTCAAGATCTGCTACAAAATCTATAAGTAGTATGACTAAAAGGAAATAGCGGTACCAAGTACACAATATGGAAAGTAAGCTCTAATAAAATAACCCGTACTACAAAAGAAAGTTTAAAAGTGCGAACCGTACGCGTACTACAAAAGGACAGAAATTCTTAAAAAGTGCGGAGAAGATGATAAGTATGACAAATATGACGGAACCACTGATTAGCAACAAGCAACTTAGTTATAGCGCCCCACGCACGAACGCTGCGAGCTACTAAGCTACAAGAAAAAAAGAAGCTATTATCTTTTGTTAAACAGAGAGACGTGTACTAATGTACTGCTGTACGGAACTAACAGCACCAACTATTATCATTTCAAGACATCTGTTTTGAAACACAAGGACTGGAACGACTGAGATAATAACGAGATAGCGCCTGAATGAAGATTACCGGTGGTAAAGATATATATAATACTATATATATAAAACGCGATGTAATCAAGTGTACACGGTAAGTTAGCGCTCTCAACAGATTGGAAATACGCTCTTAATTGGGCGCCTGGTAACCGTCACTGTTAATTGAGCGGTACAGCTGTTGTCATTGACAGCAGATTTTTTTATATGTTTTTTAATGTATGTTTTTATATAATTATCGAATTCAATTCTTTATCTAGGGAGAAGTTGACATCCTGTCAAGTTCTCTCTAGAAAAAGTTTTGATTTCCATATATTATTTAAAAACAGGGTCACTAATGTGACTCACTATGTCACTAATGTGACTCACTGTGAGTGCTGCTAAAAAATACAGAGGATCATTAAAACAGTGAAATGGATATGTGCAAGATATTTTGCGGTATAACCAGTACCTTAGGAACCTCATAATATAGTAACATATATTTTATTCTACAATATGAACCCAAAACTGTGTTCAATTTAATGGTGTTGTGTTTCACCTGATTTTTGAAACACAAGGCCGAGGTCATCAAAAGTTTAACATCGAATTTTTTATTATTTTAAGTAAATAACGAACTGTTCATGCCATGACTCATGGTTAAGATATAATGTACATATATAAATATAAACATATATATAACTCGGTGAATGTCCTTGCTGTACGGCAGTGTTAAACAAGGAACTGAAAACGAGGGGTTCCGTTCAAGCCCTTCACACTTTGCTTCTGTCTGGTTCTAAAGTTCTAATATATCGTTACAATAATGACTTTAATATTATATGGTTTTTGTTTGGATTTCTCCAGTTGCAAGAGTGCTCTACCCGGGAGGGGAGCTTTATACAATCAAACCAACAAGTTAATAAACTATAAGTTTGATGCAATCCGTACCAAACGCAATCGTCAGTATTAGAACTACTACTATTAGAACTATTAATGGGGGTGGGATTCAAGCCACAGCCGTATTTCATGCCATGTTTAAGTAGCCGAAGAATCCAGGTCCAACTATTAGAACTACTACTAAATCCATAAATATGGATTTAGTAGTTATAACTTATAGATAAGTAGTTCTAATACTAACGATTGCGTTCCTTTCGGATTGTATGAAACTTATGGTTTATTCACTCGTTGTTTTAATTGTATAAAGCCCCCCTCCCGGGTTGTTTTAATTGTATAAACATATTATATAATATATAATATATGTAATATATTATGTTATAGATAGAAGTTTTCTAACGTATCTTAATTGAATTATATTCGGGATCTATGAATTTCAGAATTTTCATGCAAGAGAAATGAACTGAAGGAACGAACCTTCTGCAATAAGTGTTTCACTGACAGAAGCGAACAGTTCACAGCTCCTCATCGTCAAACTATCTCTAGTCTGGAGCAGTCCGTCCCTTTGCGCGCGTATACTCTCCAGACATCCCGCCAACAGTTCCTCTCGTGACTTGCGCAAGCCTTTGCGGTGCGACCGGATGCTCTCGCTGCACCCTGCAAACAGCTCGTTTTTCTGGGCCCACAGTCCGTCTGAGTGGGCCCTGAGGATTTCAGTGGAACGGGTTAGGAAGTCTTCTAACGATTCCATCCTGGACAATGGCAAATTGTAGGAAAAACGTTCGTTTTAAAATAGATTCCTTAATTTTCCTTATTATTTTATTGTAGATAGTTTAATTGTTTATATTAATGTTTAGGTACACAGAATTTTAATTTCGAAATCTTCCATTCGATGAATTTATTTGCTACCTAAGAATCAGTGACACAAACAAGTATGAAAGAAAATAGATAATATATATGATTTTAAACAATCAACAATTTTTTAGAATTACATTTATTTTAAGACTTTGTTGGTAAAAATTCGTTGGCAACAGCACATTGAAGTGACACAAAAATTCTGGAAATAGCGACGAACGGAACCATCAACTATGAATGTTCAACCCTAATACATGATAACATAGAATAGACTCTGCAATACATGCTAATGGTAACAAGTTCGGCAGTATCCAAGAAGCCAGTCCACAGACAGGTCGGCGTACTGGGTCGAGCGTCTTGGATACTGCCAAAAGTTCTTACGACCCTCAAGAGATGCTGATAAGGGGACACTAAATTTAAATAGCACCAATAATGGTCACAACCTGTAATCTCCAGAACAAATAAGGCACAAATACGAGAAGGCTAATGTGATTCTGACTATCAGATGAGGAATAGGGGGGCATTAGGCACTGCCAATGTGAGCAGTCATCAGATTGATAAGGGGTCACACCGTCTCGCCAAAAATACACCAGAAGTGGCACAACCATTTCATCGGTAAGACAGCGCTTTATCAGATCTTGTTATATGTAATTGAATTCGAGAGCTGAGAATGGCCTGTAGAACCTGTTTTTGACGTCACCATCAGTGTCTTGATATCTCGTTTTGAAATTAGTTCCCCTAAATGCATTAAAGATGGTATTTCATCGTCATTTCTATTGTTTAAGACCAGTCGTCTAGTTTGATAGTGACAACGACCGCAGAATTCTTAAAAATTCCAACAATGCTACCAGAACAGCACCCTCTACATTCTACACTTTGTATCAATTTAATATAATACCATTATAACACATATCTCTTTTCTCAAATCTCATCAGCTATTATAAAAAAACACTACTAGATCTGTTTACATATGAAATACAATGTAGGTTAGATGCGTGGCAACACATTACCACTATGATGCCACCTTTGTCATGATGCCAGCATGTCGTTGGCATGGAGATGATCCTAATGGTATTTGCTTCTATATGCTATCTTAATTCTTAAGTTACATTATTAAACTGCACCATTTAAAGAAACTTTGTCCACCATATTTATCCACTATACAAGAATAATTATATTCAGATTAGGGTCTGAGGAGCTCTGGTAAGTATAATGACTCAAACAAAAATTTGGAAAAATTTGGAAAAAAAAAAGGAAAAAATTATTGAAAAAAAAAGAAAAAAAGTATGATGACTCAGTAAATTCTGTACGTGAAGGCTGTAAGTCGATAAGTAGGTTGATTGGAGGGCAGTATCGAGATAGCCCGACCACGGTCCGCGGACCACGGTCCGCGGACCACTGTCCGCGGACCACTGTCTGCGGACCGTGGTCCGCGGACCACTGTCATATTACTGTATAATAACAGTATCCCCTGAATCAAGCAGGGTTCACATCATCCCCTGAGTCAAGCAGGGTTCACATCATCCCCTGAGTCAAGCAGGGTTCACATCATCGCACGCGAATTCCAATCAGCGGTGGTGTCAAGGCTTATTAAACGATTAAGCAACCGTACGAGATCAGTTCACATCATGCAATATATAAAGAATAACTATTATCAGACTGCATCAATCATTTCTATCATCAACTCCTTCTTGAACAACTACAACTATGGTCTCAGAGAAAACGAAACGGATGAACTCAGCCCTACCCTGCGACCCTATCTGCAAACCTATCTCACCTCTCGACAAGTGGACTCAAGCTGGTAAAACCCTCATCGTCTCCAGAGCCAACCCAAGCTTCTGCGTTTTCTGCAACAAGAGGCATGCTGGTATATCATGCGCTGCTCATGACCCTGTAGCATCTTCTGATGCCGGAGGTCTTGCTAATTCCTCTGCTCATGCTCCTCGTGTCCGCTCCAAATGTAACAACTGCGTTGTTATGAATGTCCACCGATAATCTTCAGTCCTCGATGGGATCCTACATTCTACTACAAAAAAGATAACAAAGCTTTGTCCTGAGCATCAACTCCCAGAACCAGTGACATAGATGCATTACACCCAGGACAGGACATGGAGCTCTTTAGGAGGTTTTTCTGGAATAGGAAGTCTCGAGCATTCTCTAGGGAGGCGGTGGGTCCATTAATTTCGTCCATTAGACATAAGAGTACCATGTCAGGAATTGGAATAGTTGTTGTTGTTGATGATGGCAACTGATAATACTTCACCAAAAACGAACGACTTATATACCACATTTTAATCGTAATCATTTATTTCATTGAGCAATCAATATTATTCGTAACTAATTATATCCGAGAGACCACATTTGAATCGTAATCAATAGTTTGATCCAGTAATTTACTACGCTACAATTAATTATGCTAGTCGTAACTAATTGCATCCAAGATACCATACATACCATTCATATGATCTGGTAACCAATAAACTATTCACAAACACCTGTTGCTTGATTCAGGGGATACTGTTATTATACAGTAATATGATCTGGTAGACAGTGGTCCGCGGACCACGGTCCGCAGACAGTGGTCCGCGGACCGTGGTCCGCGGACCGTGGTCGGGCTATCTCGATACTGCCGATTGGAGGCTACTGAATCTACTTTGTTAATATCAAGTGTCTGCCCGTAGTAACTCCTAATAAGTAACAACTTGCTGCATTTTTCTTGCATTTTCCTATTAAAGTACTTTATTAAGTGGACCATAATCGGAGGATTTGTCACGTCATAATTAACATTCCGACCAACAAAAAAAACCATTGGAGATAGTGTCGTCATTATAATGTAACTAAAGGTAGAAAATTTGGAAATTAATCTCCAAATTGAAATATTATAACATATTTTGTATGAAACGTTTCATCCGTATAAATGTATTCAAATGTATAGTTGACTACAAACATTTTGATTACTTTACAACAAGCACGAGAAAATGGGTAATATCACGCTGCCTTATTGAACGAATTTGTAAAATTCACACATGTGGATCAAGAAAAGGTTAAAATTGTATACAGGTTATGGCTGTAGGTTCAGGGCAACATGACCACACATTCTTATCTGGTTCAGAGAAACTTTAATCGGCCTAATTTATCAAGATAACGTTTTAGGTTACAGAGAATCTTATGGCCTATACACGTGGAAGTGTGGGACAATTATACAACATCTTTGTTACGTATCATGTATTTTATCGCTGCTGAGAAATGAGAGAGAGTTTATGTAGATATAAGCAGGATGAGGAGAAGTGTTCAATATTCCAAACAACAATTAGCAACACACATTGGACCAGACAAACTTATACAATGACACAGATACAATCTAAGTTATAAAGTTTGTCAGCAGAGTATAGATCAATGCAAACACTGCGTGGTTTATGTATAAAACACGGCGCCAAACTTCAAAACCGTGTACACTTCTCGTATAACTGTTAATTAGTTATTATTAGGCATAGTCTGAGTCTAAAATAGTAAAAGTTACTGGCTCACATATTTCAACAGAGCTCTTCATATTCTTCATTATATATATATGTGTAAATATCAGAATACAAGTTGCATTTAACGAACCACATACTGCATATAATCATAAAAACAATTCATTTCGTCTGAGCTGTTAGACATGTGGTCTTACAAATGATTCACAACATGTTATAATATAATAACATGTTATAATATAATAACATGTTATTACATTGTTATATATACCAATGATCGTGTTCAACACAATTAACATGTCAAGACAGATTCTTATTGAATATTTTGTATCAGTATTATATCTCTTGCTTCTAATTCTAGTTCTAATAATTCATAGCAAAACATGTAAAATATACAGGGTATGGGCCAGAATGAACATACTTTTGACACTTTGCATTATCAAGGTGAGAATGATCCAGCTTTTAACAGTAATTACTAATTAACAGTAATTACTAATTAATTAACACGTGACCTACTTTTACTTTATTGTATGAGGGACCATATCTGGATGTTAACTCTGGCTCAACCCGTTACATCATCAATAACACACCAATTTGTAACTGATTATTGAACAGGAAATTAGTTAACCCTTTAAAATACAACGATTAAGCGTCACTACAATTCGTTCAACCCTTTAAATAACATACCATGTCCGTATAAAATGTAATGATATTGCGGAATGCGGACCTCATCTCCGAACAAGGCAACATCAATCATATAAGCACAAAAATATAATAACACTGGGAGACATGTGTCACGCTCTTTGGTAAGTAGCCCAAATTCCAGCAAACCCCATAGCAAGACAGATATGGCAGAAAACGTTCACTTCTGACCAAATCCTGCACGCACCGCATATTTTCTGTACAATAGCTGCCGCAACATTATTTCGACAAAATTAGTGCTAATTTCTCCACCAAGGAGGAAGTACAAGTCCATTGTCTGTTGTAATCATTATTTGAAACCAGTCATTGCTTGTGCTCGAATATTATGAATCTGAGTCTTGAAAATAGTCGTTGATCTCCCATTAGAACACGTAAATTAACGTAAGATAGCATTAGAATGGAAGCCTGCTAACAGCATTGTGTCTTACATTAACTACCGCACCAGGTAGATCAAAATAGAAAGCCCGACGGCTGCTGCTGAACCAAACAACAGCGGTTTGCCGAAATTATCCCAGATATATTGCTTTTTGACCGTTGAATCATCGTGTGCTTTTAACTTTTCTTTCATATTAGAAACAAGATCGGCAGTTTTAGCATTCCGCGTCTTTCTTTCCTCTTCCTTTTCAGTTGTAGAAAATTCTTTGTCTACTTCCATCGCACTAACCTCTGGAATTTCGGGAGATGAGTCGGAGTTAGCTTGTAGATCAGACAGTGGTGAGGCTGACTCGGAAATAGCTTCAACAGATTCATCAGGAGTCATGAGCTCGGCAGATTTGGGAAGAAAATCAATACTGCTTGGGGAGACTACCTCGTCCTCCCTGTCAGACTCCTTATCGCTGCCTTTGCTTAACACCGCAATGTCAGCTTCATTGATGAGAATATCATCCTCATCCTCGACCTCGTCCTCAACTGACCCATCAACTGAACCATCACCATCTACCATGTAATCATCTTCCTCATCAGTTTCAAGCTCAGAGTCGTCCGAGTCCATATAATGGACACTTCCCTCGGAGCTCTCTACATCAATGTCTATCTCTGCTGAGATCCTTTCATTCGTAAAATCTGACGTATCTATATTTTGCATTCCAGTGAGAATTGCTATAAAGCAGAACCGAAGTTGGTCAGGAGTTTGAACAAGACCAAGCCTATGTTGCCGAATACTGATGAGGATTGAGTAAATGTCAATGTTTTGAGTCCTCTTTTCCTCTGTTATGGTCAAAATTGTGTCTACAAGAACCAGAGTTCCAGTCCTTCCAATTCCTGCTGAACAATGTACAACTGGAGCTCCTTTGCAGTCTTTATAATATGATCTTACCAGTTTCAAGAATTCAAGAAACTTTGTAGGCGATTCAGGTACCCCAAAATCGGGCCAATCGTAATAATGGAGGTGAAAAATCTTTCTCTCTTCATTTGTGGCAAGTTTAACTATGCTCAATTCGCTGATAGCATAAAAATTGTAATCTTCCTTGGAAATAAGCGTCACTGAGTATTGAGGGGTTGTAAAAATGTTGTCAACGTCCCCATCTTCATCTTCCTCACCAGTTGGCCAGTAGGGATGGCATTTTAACCTGTTGTTCTCAATTATTCGATTGAGCATTATTATTACTGATGTATTTTCATCCCAAATCATCTGCCAAAAGTCCATGCTTGTGCTCATCATAGGACCCTGAAATCATCACAAAATTTTACTTCAATATTAAACTGTGTTCGAATATAGACTCCTATAAGAGTAGAGTGTAGACACTAAGATAATCTTTTATTTCCGTGAAAATGAAGCTACATTATATTATATGTGATTCCGTTTCATGGTTAGAAACTCTTTTCAATTCGAAAGTAAAAAGGTTAAGACAAACCTGGCAACAGATGTAATGTAGGTCCACAAAAGGAGGCTCAACATGAGAGGCATTGATATAATCATTTGCACTTTTCAGTCTCACTCTTGTTTCATCATAGGGTAAAACATCAACATATCGATTTTTGCTCCTATTCTGCTCACTTTTAGCTGATGATGTATGAAGGCGAGACGCTATCTCATAGGATTCAAAGTGTAACATACCAAAGTCATTTTTCCATCGGTTTTCTGTTTCCAGTTTATGAAAAAAGTCCTGGATATTCATTGCTGCTGGAAGTATTGTGTTATGAATACGTATTTTCAATTGCATACAAATTTTCTATAAATCAAGAAATAATCCCTCCGGTACTCAGCCACTGGTTTAGAGGAGAAGAAGTACGAAGTTGGGCGGATGAGGAAGCACAATGTTCTCTGGTTCAATCTGCTGTTCTCTGTTACTGTGGAGAACAATGCAAATTCCTCAATTTGTTGGAGAAACACTTCCCTCTGGACAATCCACTACACAAGATCTTGTAAAGGTCTCATGCAGCTGCATGCAAAATGTACAGCACATCATAAAGCCGCAGAGCGAGTAGTTATTTCGTCAGCACCAGGAAGTGCTTGTCAGAGTGTTTGGCGACCTACTATATGAAGAATGAGTGGCACCACTACGTTGGAATGACAGAGGGCACATTCAACCATTGCTGCAACTGGCACACCTTATAATTTTGCCTGGAGCAGTAGCGGACTGCCACTAAGCTCTTGAAGAAGATCTGGTCTCGCAAAGAGCGCATGGCTGTGTATTAACAGTAAACACATAGAAGCAATTTAGCTTCTGTTTATATACAACTTCTTATGGGTAACCATGGGGATTGAGCTGATTAAGATGTCCTGATTGTGCAGCTTCTCCTTCTATACTTAATAGGAGTTATTCCTCCTGGCTTGCCAGAAGGAACTTTTCAATTCAAATCAGGATAGATCAGACCATAACCAGATGTGGACATGGATACACAGTCGGGCAGAACAGTTGCGATCTGTGTACATCAGAAAAACAAGAGATATATCCTCCGACCCAGGCCACCTATTCAACTCCAGAAAGGACCTCCTCGCTAAATACCACCAATGTCTAATGTATGGCTTGTTTTTTAAGCTATGGTCTTGTGTTTGATCGCAGTAAGGTCATGTGATGGGATTTTAGATAATTACCTCATTTGATTGAAAACCTCAAGAAGGTCATGTAATGAAAAATTCAATGTGCTGGTTGGGCACATGTATTAAAGCAATTTAGAATTGGTGATTGGGATTTCTGATAATTATAACAGAGGGGCGAGGGGTACTCAAAACGCTAGGAAGTTGCACATACTTTACAAAACGAATTTTTGACTGTAAAATCGATAAAATAAATAATAATAATGATAATAGTTCAAAATTTCATAATGCAGTGGCACAATAACAATCGCGATGCATAGGTGTGCCACAAACACTACTCAGGACACAAGAAAACCCTCAAAAACCAATCCACATTTACATTATAGACCATGCAAACTTTCAAGATTTGGTAAAAAGCAAGTTAATGTGATTGCACTATCCAGATGAAAAATATGTCAAACAGTATATATATACATTCAATTAAATCAAGTGATGCAATTGGCAGAGCACAATCAAATTTTAAGTGTTGCAATTGGCAGAGCACAATTCATTGCTACTAGATTAGATTAGATTAGATTAAGAATAATGACATAAACATCATCACTAGTTTTAAACAGTGATGACTAATAATTTTTTCAAAAACATTTTAACAAAACACATGATCTACTCCATTATAGGGGCAGGGATGAGGTTGTATGAAACTTCTGATAGCTGAATCTCACGTTTGGTGTCCACCTTCTTTCCTCGGTACCCTCGTAGAGCAATAAGAGTTGTTCTCAACATTGCAAATCTTATCCTAGTTCTCACGTGTCTTACTACATCGCAGTACCTTTCCTTCTTTTTTCTTGCAATGAGGTCTGCTACTCTGTTGACGAACTGCTTACACTCTTTAGACATTCCTCCAGATGTGAGGAATACAGCCGGGGTGAAGGTAGCCTTCTCCACATTCAACACTCTCTCCAAGTACTCGTCCTTCTTCTCTTTCTCGTTCTCTTCGTATACTTCTTGAAGAGTTTTTGTCCTGTTTGATAAGCAATTGGGGTGTGAAACCCTTATGTCAAGAAAGGTCTTATCAAATGGAGTCCAAACTCCTCTAGCAGATACATCAAGCCGAGCTTGGTCACCTGTTATAGTCACCTGTTATAGTCACCTGTACTATCCAGAAGAAAATTTTAAAAAATACTAAGCATAAAAATAGTAAAAATAGTGCGAAAAAATACCATTTTTCTGCTACAGGTATGGCGACCTATCAAATTATTAGACACAATAGTAAAATTTATAAACACCAGAATCCGCATGGTAATACAAGTAAGGCCTATCTGTATTAATTTATGCTACGCCAGCAGTTAATTATAAAAGTCACTTTGTCCGCAATTTTGGGACATACTGAATAATTCATCAATACTAGTTTGTCAAAGGAACCAATCACGATTACAGGTTACAATCATGATTATCAAATTGCAATCAACAATAAAACGAGACCGAAAACAAAAATAATAAGGCTGCATTTTTGTTTGAACATGGACAAAAATTTTAAAGTTTCGAGGGAAAAACTATTTATTAATGATTTAGTTTATTTAATATTTTACTTCATCAAAAAAAATAAAAATTTAATTCGGGTCAATGTTACATGGTTGAAAGTTAATCAAAGATTAATATAATAAATCATGCGTCAAATATTTATTGATGATTATATAATCATAATATAATAATAACAAAAGGTTGTAGCGCTATGCGCTAGATCGGCGAAATGCGCTACTGTCAATTGTGCCGCGCCGAGCTGACATCATCAATTAAAGCAAAAGGTATTTTAAATTCATAGGTTTATAACCTACCAAGACGCCCGCCGGGTTGGACTCGTCTATTTGAAACAAATATATTTTTGAGCATCACCCACTAACTTTAATCTTACTTGAATAATATTGGAGGACTTCGCCGCTTCGACGCGCCGCGCGAACTAGCATTCTTGCGTGCTAGTTCGCAAAGCAAGAGCAACGATCTCAATAGGTTTTTATCTTACCATTTGCTTTCGCGCCGCAGCGGGCACGATTGTTTCACAAGTTGCGCCCTTGACCATTTTTAAATATCGTCTGGTCCGGCGCGCGCTACTTCTTAGCTCTTGCCATCGGGCCTTAACATTTCGAGAAGAAAGCGGCGCGCGCTACTTCGAAGAAATTTAGACGAGTAACATCCGTCAAGTCGCGCCCTAGAGTTGGGCGCGCGCTACTGCATGCTCAAGGGCTCTGGATAGAGCAACGATGGGTTGACATCGTCAATCAATAATAATATAATTTACGCTTAGCTCTATCCAGAGCCCTTGCGCTTGCAGTAGCGCGCGCCCGCCTCACGGCGGTAAAAAGGGCTTTAGCCAATAGCCATAAACCCACCCAACAATTTTGGCACCACTCTACCATCTACAGTGGTGCCAAAATTACCCGCGCTTTTGTCCTCATATGCGACGTGTGTAGCCTTTCAGACATTGCATTGATTGCGTAAACGATCAGGTGTCGTACGTCACCTCAAGATCGGGTGACAGGGGGCTGACATGACCATGCCCAAACCTAATTGATCATTGATTGGGTCTGAGGTCACGGGATTATGAGCCTATGAGGTCACGTGACTATGACGTCACCAGACTTTGTCCTCCGTTTCCCGCTCATTGGACTAAGTGAGCTTGCATGCTTGTGAATGTAGGTGTAAGTACAGCTGTACTGTAGTTTATACCTAATTAACCCCTATACACTGTCACTATGCACTTTAGAAACCTGAAAAGTGGTTACTGCATACTCAATACTGGAGGGAGAAGTGCCAAGACTACCTGCGCTACATAGACGCTGTTGTAAGCACTGCGCACGCGCGCACGAACCTTCCCATCGGGGTTCGTGGATAGGTGCTTTTCTTGACTTGTGAAACAAGCGCGCCCGAAGTGGCGCGAAAGCACATGGTTAGGTGAATTTACGCTCGATACTGTAAGTACCCCAAATGCCCTTTTCAAAACTGAAAACACATTTTGACCAAAAATTTGATTGTTTTTGTTTTTGAGAAAAATAAATTTTATACAAATTTTATCAGCTTAGGTTCTATTCTCAAGTAAATAATAATTTTTAATTTAAATTGGGAATATTTGCATTGTGATTGGTGATCGTTGTTTATAGTTGTCAGCTTAGTTGTATTGTATGCAATGCACTACTTGGCCGCGCCGCGCGTGCATCAAATTTGTCATACGTTGTATGACCCGCCGCGCACGAAGTGCGCGGCTCCCCCTGTAGCGTCGAAGACGCTACAGGGGGTCATAGCCGTTTTGCAAACAATAACAAACCAAAAGGGAACTCAGTCAGTTCCCTCCATAATAAAGCGCCGCGCCATACGTGATTGTACTGAATATTTGTGTGTCGCCAATACGAAATGCTTGCGGAGAACATGTTTGTGGCTTTTGACTTGGATCCAGCTTTATTAATTATAAATTCGATCGACCTTTATTACTATTTTATTCGTAATGGTTTTGAACTTGAATTATTCTAGTTTATCTACTCGATCTACCGTTAGTTATTTCGATCCTTGATTGCTGCTGTTTAGGTAGGATTATAGGATAGCTTTCGCTTTTAGAGCCATCTGCACTGTATACTAGTATTGTTAATGCAAGTTGAATGAATGTATATTTTAGGGGATTTGGTCTTGTTTAAGCATTTCATATCATTTAATTGAAAGGTATACCGGTCGGACCTGTTTGTGTATAAGTATAAAGGCACATAATATTTTGAACCTTGAAAACACAGTGTTCGGTTTCTGTAGATATTTAACTTTACTGTAACCTGCTCATGCCTATCCTGATCCCAGAAATATTATCAGTTTTATCATATCAGTATGTTCAACAGGTCAGACGGTTTAGTAATCTATAATCGACAATTGTGACTGGTTTAACCTGCATAATTTCTTATTGGGCGACAGCTGTCCGGCAGCGACATCTGTCCGACAGCCGAATTGGGGATTTCGGACAGATTTCGCTGTCGGACAGGAGCAGTTTTTGGCGACATCTGTCCGAATTTCGGATCATTATATATTGTAACTTCGGTTCACATTCGTATTTCACAAGCTCACAGGTAATCTCGTGACGTTGCTCCCATTGTTCTAATGCTGATGTGATCCGTTGAGATCTGATCAATCGATACGTGATTGACCAGTTGCGGACAGGATCGTGCTAGCCGTACACTAACAAGCTGTCGATCACATCACAGGTGTTTCTAATATGTCTCATATGTTTTTTTACACTCTGTGTTTACTCGACGATTTGCTTAATTATAACAGTAAACCATTTGTGTGGAATTAATATTTGATCGTACCTTTACCATTTAAGCCCTCGAACATTGATATTAAAACAAAGAGCTCAGTTTGTATTATAGATTTAAACATCAAGTGGGACGTTGAATACGTGACTTGTGTGGAGGCTCCTGCCTGCCCTTTAAATTAACGGTTTAAGTGTATACGTCTTTATTAATGTTGCCTCCGATTTCACTACACTGACAACATTCACTTTTTATTTTTTGTGTTATTTTTACTTGGGATCTCATATCATAAAATTTTACCATCGCAATACGGGTATTAATTTACCTCCCAGCGGTGAGACACCGCTTCCTTCCATCGCCATGTTTGAAGCTCTCCCATCATCTGTTCTACTTCAGAGGGAAGTGATTTATTTTATATTTTAAAATTGTTATTATTCCAGTATAACAAATACATTTTTTAATCGTGTAAAATCGTGTAAATTGTTTAACCACTCCCGGACGAATTGCCATTATAATAGGCCCGACAGAATGTGAGGGCTTATTATACCTACATCACATCGCTGCTAGGAAACCAGTTATTAAGTGTTTCTAATATGTCTCATATATTTGTTTACACTCTGTGTTTACTCGACGATTTGCTTAATTATAACAGTAAACCATTTGTGCGGAAATAACATTTGATCATACCTTTACTATTTAAGCCCTCAAATATCCCTCGAACATTGATAATGATATTAAAACAAAGAGCTCAGTTTGTATTATAGATTTGAACATCAAGTGGGACGTTGAATACGTGACTTTTGTGGAGGCTCCTGCCTGCCCTTTAAATTGTTTAAAGGGATCATGAAGTGTCCCCGACTTAATCGTCAAAACATTTCACATATTCTATCACATAGAAATACTAATATAACAATAGGGCTCGGAATTCCCAGATTCGTAACTTAATTATGTCGCGTGAAATCGATACAGGAAGATCGCCCGAATTTGTTGGATTGTGGCTAACTGTCAGACACGCAATAGAAACAGTGTTAAAACGCACATTTTTATTCATGTGCTGTGGCGCCAATTTAATTGATAAAATCTTCAAATTAACGACACTTGATAGATTTGACTTTTATCTTTCGAAAATTGTGGTTGAATAATGTGCATAATATACACAAGCATCAAATAATTGTCTTATAAGTTTACGTACTGCTGTGTTATGTTGTAGGAAGAAAAACATTCAATTACCAAACACTAAATAACAATACACGTTTGTAAGAACCTATTACTTAAACTAACCTTAAATTATAAATAGTTTTTTCTGGATACAAACATTTACTTGTTAACTTCATGGCAAAATATGTCCATCATCAGTTCCGATACTGATAAAACCCGTATATCTTGATCCATCTGTGTTTGGAAACTTTTCTCGGATCGCCGACACAACACATGATGGAAGTACGTATCGAACCTTTCTATCCAAATCTTGGGAGCTTATCAAATTCACAAATGATTTGTAGGCTAAATATCTCCACTTTTTTGGTGTCAAATGTGCTTTTAGATAGTCTCCCCGTTTTACAGCATCATTGATGGTGAAACTAAACAGGTATCTTGAATATCTAAGCCCTTGTTCAGATAAGACCATATGAAAAACCAGAAAGCTTCTCCTACTACTGGTGTCTCTTCCCTCACGGTTGTTACAACCTCCGACTGCACAATGTCTTACCATCAACCGTCTTTTGATAAATTTTAACTAGTAACGAGTTGTTGCAGTGATAATGGAATGAAGCTAAACTAATATATTTAGTAATGTCATAATTGCAAAGCTTGACCTACTATACTCTGAAAACACGTGCCGCAGTCGACAACAAACGCGAAAATTTGTAACAGCTCTGACTTAGTTATTAATTCTTAATTGGAAGATAAGACTTTTATCTACGGGGTACAGATTACGGATACATATGTTAGGTTCGTGTCTACACATTACACGTTATTCAAGAAAGCACACATTCGCAAGCTTTAAAATACAAAGACCGTACAGAACGAAAGTAAACAAATTGAACACTGATCGTGCTACATTCAAATTCCATGAAGTGAGCTGTCTTTAATTGCTTGTAGGAACTAGATTAATCGCTGTACACCAAATTTAGGAAGATATGTGAAATATAATGGTTTATACCTGATGGTAATCTTGTCGGTTCAACAAAAAAACCAACAGAAAACTTGTTATGGACAATTAAAATCAGGCGTTTTTACACATGTCGTATATGCTATCCCGTCACCTAGCCACAACTTGGAAAAATGTAATTGATATACCCCATATTATCTCAGCTTGTGAAGCAATTACGACGGAGCTATTTTGGGATTGTGGCAGAATTACCAAGCCTAGCTCACTACCCAAGTTTCGAGTATTTTTGAAGAATTCGCAAATTTACACTTCATGATCTCTTTAACCACTCCCGGACGAATTGCCATAATAATAGGCCCGACAGAATGTGAGGGCTTATTATACCTACATCACATCGCTGCTAGGAAACCAGTTATTAAGTGTTTCTAATATGTCTCATATATTTGTTTACACTCTGTGTTTACTCGACGATTTGCTTAATATTATAACAGTAAACCATATGTGTGGAAATAACATTTGATCGTACCTTTACTATTTAGGCCCTCAAATATCCCTCGAACATTGATAATGATATTAAAACAAAGAGCTCAGTTTGTATTGAATGTAATGAGGTAACTTTCACAATCAAAGAGTGCAAAGAGACAAAATATCTTGGCCTCATTCTAGATAGTAAATTAAACTTCAAAAGCCATGTAGATTATATTATTAGGAAGGTCATGAAGAGAATTGGTGCCATGTATAGAAGTAAAGCACTGCTACCCATTAAATATAGGAAAATGTTTGCCAATGCACTCATGTTACCACAATTCGATTTAGACACGATCTATTGTAGAGCTGGCAAGACAAAACTTGCTGAACTTGACACTCTGTACAAAAAGGTAGCCAAAATAGCTCTCAACGTTCCACAAACAGAGAGCAGCCTTAATGTTTATAGAGACATGAAATGGTTACCACTCCATCTTAGACGACAACTCCATCTGTCAAATTATATGTTTAGAATCATCCATGACAATTGTCCTACAAACTTTATGAACAAATTTAGTTACATATCAGGAGGTAGTAGGAGCGGCGAAAGCTGCAACTTATATGTTAATAGATCAACATCACATAAAAACTTTCAATACTTGGGGGCAAAATGTTGGAATAATGTTCCAACAGATCTACGAAATCTGCCCGATGTTAAAAGCTTTAGTGATTCGTATAAGAAACAGCTACTCTCATCTATAACAACAGACCCTAATTATACCGTCGACAATTCATATGACAAATTTTACACTGCAATCATAGTCGACGATAACTAAGTATCTTCTAATTCTTTTAAATCTGAGGCATATATAATTGATGTATCGAAAGGATATTCCCTTTTTTTACCACCTTACCATTCTGATTGATTTTGCACATGACTGACATGTTTTAACTGGAGAAGGGGTTCGCACAGTGGTAGTTTTATAAACCACTTTTAATTTATTGACCTATTATACCTAGTGGTAGTTTTATAGACCAAATTTAATTTATTAACTTATTATACTTAATATTTATTTTTGGTGACTGTATCACCCAGTTTTAACATTTGATAATTGTACAGTTTATTGACGACACATTGACTGAATGTTATTTTATATTCTAATTTATATTCTAGATATTTTATTTATTTTTCAACAGACGACAACTTCCTGTTTTTTTTTTCTATATTAGTTACTCATATCTCTTGTACAGACTGTTTTACAAGGACATTGACAGATGATACTCACATTAGGCATTCATTATTGCATCTAAATTATTTCACTTGCATTAGGTTTAGAAATTTATTCTCTAGTTAACAGATTCAAATGTATAATTAATTTGTAGTATGACAGTAAGGTATCGTATATAAGAAGTTATTGAATTTTGCTTGGGCTATTATATTGACTATTGAGGTTTAATGATGATATGGAATTTGAATATTATATATTAATTTACACTGTGTGGTTGGGGCATTTTGCATAGTAAATATGGTTACTACTCCTATATATCATATTATTTGATTGGTATTCGATTTCTGATTATTTTCCTAGGAATATGATTATTATATCTCAATTTGGCTTTAGGTAGGGTGCCCCGCTAAAAAGCTAAAAGAACTGGATTCTTCCAGGAAGCATCCCGTGCACAGAGCTTGGTCTACATATATATTAAATTATTAACCAATAACCATTCATTCTGTATGTGCACGAAAATTTATTTCGATCATTTATAGATTTAAACATCAAGTGGGACGTTGAATACGTGACTTTTGTGAAGGCCCCTCATGCCTGCCCTTTAAATTGTTTAACCACTCCCGGACGAATTGCCATAATAATAGGCCCGACAGAATGTGAGGGCTTATTATACCTACATCACATCGCTGCTAGGAAACCAGTTATTAAGTGTTTCTACTATGTCTCATATATTTGTTTACACACTGTGTTTACTCGACGATTTGCTTTATTATAACAGTAAACCATTTGTGTGGAATTAACATTTGATCGTACCTTTACCATTTAAGCCCTCGAACATTGATATTAAAACAAAGAGCTCAGTTTGTATTAAATTTTATTTGAATTAGGTATTTTTAAACCCAATTAGTAATGTTGCTTTTAATTATAATTTTCCATAGCAAGGACTAATCAAGTGTAATATGTAACAAGATAACATCAGTATTCTCTAAACTGTATATGCAGGCAAGTTATTTGACTTTAAGTGTCTATTTAAATTGACTATAGGTCATTTTCAAGGTCGCAGACGGTTGAATTTTTGCATTTGAAGGTTTATATTGTATGTTATCACAAGTTATCACTTGAGTTACAATCAGTACAATGCGCTTATTTAATTCAATACTCAGGTAACGTGTTGACTCTTGGCCCGGTAATAACTTAATAATGAGCCGAGAATAAGGGTTAAAGTTCGGTATCCATAATGGAGACTGAGAGGAAGATATTGTCGAAGTATCCCCTCACTTGACTCATCGGTATGATATCTGACCATAATGAAAAAAAAAGACTTCGCACATGCAGTCCATGTTCTAGTTCTTGGTCTGCACTCTGCAATCTACCATGTAAGTGAATTTTATTGATAAGTTATTTGCGATCTGATCAGCTAACAACGCTTTTAGTAAAACCAAAAACTATGTTATCACAAGATGTACACATGATGATCGCAATTAGGTCACTACTTAATTACTACGATAGGATGTCAATCTATATACATTATCTTATTCTACACACATACCTTAGGGTGCGGTTGGCCGTCGCGGGGCTCACACGTGGGCGGATTCCCGCGTAATTTTCGAAGTAAATTTGTACAAAGTGTAACTTTCGTGAGCACTATCTCAATCTGTGCGCGTACATTACATTTACATATTATTTTGTCGACAAAAATATGAATTATAGCGAGGCCGATGTTTTTTTTGGATAACTTTTTATCCATTTGTCTAAACTTCACTCTGTAAAAAGTTATTGGTAGTTCTAACTTCTAAGGTTTAAAGGTGTTCTAAGAACTTGAAAGAACACCGTGTTCTTTCAAGTTTTTACGTCACCATTTGCATTGCCCATCATACTCCATAGCAACCGCAACGGGTCCCCTAGCAACTGTTTCAAAATTTTGACTTTCTATCATCGTCTAAAGCATTACCTTTTATTTACTATAGCCTTGTCGAAGCCTTGTGATTTACAGTCATGATCTGGTGAATCTTTTGATTGGTCGGTGGCTTTCACAACGCGTCCCCATTCTCCAACTCCTGCTGCTGGAGAGAGAGACTCCCAAATTATATACCATAGATATATTGGGGGGGGGGGGGGGGGGTGACATGTCTCCAATGTCTCCCGCACCTTATCTTTTCGAAAAAGACAAAGACATTGGAGACATTGGAGACACAGCTTTTGGAGACATTGGAGACATTGGGGACATTAGAGACACAGCTTTTGGAGACATTGGAGACATTGGGGACATTGGGGACATTGGGAACATTAGGGACATAAAATGGATATTAGGGGCATTGGAGACATTGGAGACACAGCTTTTGGAGACTCCTCCTCCTCTTTCTCCTTCCAGTCCTCCTCAGTCATTCTCCTCCTCCTCCTGGGTCCTCCTCCTGGGTCCTCCTCTTCCTCTTCATCCTCCTCCTCTTCCTCCTCAATCATCAGTCCTCCTCCTCAGTCCTCCTCCTCATCCTTCTCGTCAGTCCTCCTCCTCAGTCCTCCCCAAGTCCCCCTCCTCCTCAGTCTCCCCCAGTCCCCCTCCTCCTCCTATTCAGTTCTCCTCAGTCCTCCTCCTTCTCATTCCTCCTCCTGAGTCCTCTTCCTGAGTCCTCCTACTCCTAGGTCCTCCTCCTCCTCAGTCCTTCTCCTCCTCCTCCTCCCCCTCCTCTCAGTCATCCTCCTCAGTCATCCTCCTCAGTCATCCTCCTCAGCCATCCTCCTCAGCCATCCTCCTCAGTCCTCCCCAGTCCCCCTCCTTCTCCTCATATTCACTCCTCCTTCTCCTCAGTTATCCTGAGTCCTCCTCCTGAGTCCTCCTCCTCCTCCTCCTGAGTCCTCCTCCTGGGTCCTCCTCCTCCTTCTCCTCCTCAGTCCTTCTCCTCAGTCCTCCTCCTCCTCCCTCTCAGTCATCCTCCTCAGTCCTCCTCCTCTTCCTCAGTCCTTATCCTCATCCTCCTCTTCAGTCCTCCTCCTCCTGGGTCCTCTTCCTCCTCTTCATCCTCCTCCTCTTCCTCCTTAGTCCTCAGTTCTCCTCCTCATCCTTCTCGTCAGTCCTCCTCCTCCTCAGTCCTCCCCAGTCCCCCTCCTCCTCCTCCTCCTATTCAATCCTCCTCCTCCTCCTCCTCAGTCCTCCTCAGTCCTCTTCCTGAGTTCTCCTCCTCCTCCTGAGTCCTCCTTCCGGGTCTTCCTCCTCCTAGGTCCTCCTCCTCCTCCCTCTCAGTCATCCTCCTCGGCCATCCTCTTCAGCCATCCTCCTCAGTCCTCCTTAGTCCTCATCCTCCTCCTCAGTCCTCCTCAGTCCTCCTCCTCCTGGGTCTTCCTCCTCTTCATCCTCCTCAGTCCTCAGTCCTCCTCCTCAGTCCTCCTCATCCTTCTCGTCAGTCTTCTTCATCCTCAGTCCTGCCCCCAGTCCCCCTCCTCCTCCTCCTATTCAGTACTCCTCCTCCGTTCTCCTCAGTCCTCTTCCTTATCAGTCCTCCTGAGTCCTCCTCCTCCTCTTCCTCCTCAGTCCTCCTCCTGGGTCCTCATCCTCCTCAGTCCTCCTCCTTCTCCTTCTCCTCAGTCCTTCTTCCTCCTCCTCCCTCTCAGTCATCTTCCTCAGTCATCCTCCTCAGCCATCCTCCTCAGTACTCCTCAGTCCTCCTCATTCTCTGTCCTCCTCAGTACTCTTCCTGAGTCCTCCTCCTGAGTCCTCCTCCTCCTCCTGAGTCCTCCTCCTCGGTCCTCCTGCTCCTGGGTCCTCCTCCTCCTCCTAGGTCCTCCTCCTCAGTCATCCTCCTGAGCCATCCTCCTCAACCATCCTCCACAGCCATCCTCCTCAGCTATCCTCCTCAGCCATCCTCCTCAGTACTCCTCAGTCCTCCTCCTTCTCAGTCCTCTTCCTGAGTCCTCCTCCTGAGTCCTCATCCTCCTCCTTCTCCTCCTGAGTCCTCCTCCTGAGTCCTCCTCCTGAGTCCTCCTTCTGGGTCTTCCTCCTCCTAGGTCCTCCTCCTCCCTCTCAGTCATCCTCCTCGGCCATCCTCCTTAGCCATCCTCCTCATCCTCCTCCTCAGTCCTCCTCAGTCCTCCTCCTCCTGGGTCTTCCTCCTCTTCATCCTCCTCAGTCCTCAGACCTCCTCCTCAGTCCTCCTCCTCATCCTTCTCGTCAGTCTTCTTCATCCTCAGTTCTGCCCCCAGTCCCCCTCCTCCTCCTATTCAGTCCTCCTCCTCCGTTCTCCTCAGTCCTCCTGAGTCCTCCTCCTCCTCTTCCTCCTGAGTCCTCCTCCTGGGTCCTCATCCTCCTAGGTCCTCCTCCTTCTCCTTCTCCTCAGTCCTTCTCCTCCTCATCCCTCTCAGTCATCTTCCTCAGTCATCCTCCTCAGCCATCCTCCTCAGTACTCCTCAGTCCTCCTCATTTTCTTTCCTCCTCAGTCCTCTTCCTGAGTCCTCTTCCTGAGTCCTCCTCCTCGGTCCTCCTGCTCCTGGGTCCTCCTCCTCCTAGGTCCTCCTCCTCAGTCATCCTCCTCAGCCATCCTCCTCAGTACTCCTCAGTCCTCCTCCTTCTCAGTCCTCCTCAGTCCTCTTCCTCAGTCCTCCTCCTGAGTCCTCATCCTCCTCCTTCTCCTCCTGAGTCCTCCTCCTGGGTCATCCTCCTCCTAGATCCTCCTCCTTTTCCAATCATACATCTAAGTCTCCAGTGTCTCCAATGTCTCCAAAAGCTTTGTCTCCAATGTCTCCAATGTCTCCAGGACATGTCTCTGCACCCTATCTTTTCAAAAAAGACAAAAGACATCGGAGACATGTCAACCCCCCCCCCCCTATATTAAACATAGATATCGACAACAGACTCCGAGAGTCTTGAAGTTTTGTTACCACCGCCCTTGGTGCAACCCCGCCGGGTTAACGACAGAGAGACAGGGACTTCCAGGGGAGGTCATGGCCTGCTACGTGCAACTCGTAGGAGTATGCAATGCTCATGTAACGTCACTGTAGACCGCTCCTCTTTCGATTTTTGAGTGACAAATCTAAACTAAATCCTGGAGTTACACAAGACTTGGAAGCCTGTGAGCGAGTCAAATCCTAGGGTACACGAGACGTGGAAGCCTGTGAGCGTGTTAGATTCTGTTAAGTGTTAGAGTCCTAGAGTTACACGAGACGTGGTAGCCTGTGAGCGTGCTAAATCCTGGGGTTACACGAGACATGGTAGCCTGTGAGCGTGTAGACCGCTCCTCTATCGTTGTTTTGAGTATCCGATCCAAAACCGAATCCTAGGGTACACGAGACGTGGAAGCCTGTGAGCGTGTTAGAGTCTGTTAAGTGTTAGAGTCCTAGAGTTACACGAGACGTGGTAGCCTGTGAGCGTGTTAAATCCTGGGGTTACACGAGACATGGTAGCCTGTGAGCGTGTAGACCGCTCCTCTATCGTTGTTTTGAGTGTCCGATCCAAAACCGAATCCTAGGGTACACGAGACGTGGAAGCCTGTGAGCGTGTTAGAGTCTGTCAAGTGTTAGAGTCCTAGTGTTACATGAGACGTGGTAGCCTGTAAGCGTGTTAAATCCTAGGGTTACACGAGACGTGGTAGCCTGTGAGCGTGTTAAATCCTGGGGTTACACGAGACGTAGTAGCCTGTGAGCGTGTAGACCGCTCCTCTATCGTTGTTTTGAGTGTCCGATCCAAAACCAAATGCTGGGCCGGGGTTACACGTCATGTGGGAGCTTGTGAGCCTGTTAGTTTCCTGCGGAAGGTGTTATTTGCCTGTGGTAAAAGCGGTTATGCTGCGGTTCTGAGGTTAGTAGAGGCTATTAGAGCCTTTCCTTTGTTGTAGAGATGGCTAGTCCCTTCCTATGCATAGGTTAGAAACACCCATGCACCTCCCGTTCGAGCCACCCACCCAACACCGCGTGGAGGTTCGGTGAGGTTTTTCGTGGGGCGACTTGTCACATCATCACATGCTATGTTGATCGATCTGCACTTGGTGAAATTGTTGCTGAGCCATGTGGTTTTAGGTTGATTTTAAAATAAATCTTAATGTTGTGTTTTTAATAAGCTACTATTATGAAAGAAATCCTTTTGGGTATGCTTGAACAAATCATAGATTGCCCGTTACAGTGTCTTTCCGTATCATCTAATGTGACATAACATATTTCAGGAGACTGTAGAAATCCGATGATTGTTTCCTGGATCTAACTTCATAAAAGTATTCCCATTTGAACCTACAGCAGAACCTCAACATCCAGCATAACCTCAACCCTCGTCTGAACCTCCACCTCGAAAAGAACTCCTTCGAACTCCTTTTAGAACCCCTTCTGCTAAGAAGAGAAGATACAATATAGACAATCTTGACGGGTTGGCACCCTTGATAGCTGTGCACAGGGTAAATAACAAAGTATGCGCTAGACTTACCTGTAAATATAACGAGTTTATGGAGTTTGACAAGCAGTTTACAGTAAAGAAGGTGAGAGGAATTGTGCAGCGATCTAAAGAGAATGCGTTAGAATAGCCTTGGAATCTGACAGTGGAGTCGCTCTACTTTGACAGGAAAAAGGATAAAGGTATAATGCTTTTTTTATTGACTTCATAGATCTTTCTTTTTTGGCAACTAAACGCTTTTAAAATAAATATGGGATTTCGAGTCGAATATCCAAGCCTATCGATTAAATGGGATTTTAGGTATAAGATTTTGATAACTCATTACTTTTTTAGTTGCTTGATATAAAAAGGTAAATGATGTAAAAATGTTTATCTAACCAGGTACGTTAGCCTTGGATCAACACAAGATTAGACAGAAGGTTACTGAGGAACACACGACCCTTGTAGCGCAGCCATCTGGTCGTTACCTTAATGACTGCCTTCTTGGAGAAGAATATTGGACGGGAATTGCAAAGATGTATTTGCTGCCTTCGCAGGGTAGAGCTGCCATTCAGACACTTATTCATTGCATTTGATGGAGAGAAATCCGGCCCCAACTCGTTTACCCACGATATCGGAAATCTTCTCAGGACAACCGTTAAGTCAACGAGACATTTATGTCTTCTCTAGGGACATACATTCAAGCCCCTGGATAGAAACACCGTGAAGAAGCTGGGTTGGGACCTATGACTGTGTGTGTAAGGAGATGCTCCTAAACTAAGGAAATTAGTTAGTTATATTATCAATATTTACTTACCGCTTCATTTGAATTTCAAGTATAAAAGCTCAGTTATTTATGGTATAGTTAGCTTGTTTGAGGAAGTAACATTGGTCAGGAAACACGTTTCGGGTAAAGTTCACAGGGAAATTTGTTTTAGGAAATAATTCTTACTTTGCACATTCCCATAACATTCTAATTGCCATGTTACCTGACGATTGTTCTGTTATTAGAAAAGAGGCTATAGAGAAGATGTCTGAAGTTAAGAGTATCAGATGTTTTGTCCTTAAGCTATGTTCTGCCTTGGTTGAATGTTAGGGCCACTTAAAGTATACAGAGTTGTGTTCTATGAGTAAGCTAGATGGTAGTTGGGTATATTTAAATTGTTTTGGTAAGAACGTGTCGGTAAAAAAGGTCAATTATTAGCAGAATTTTAGACTTAACTGAGAGATAAAAGACTAACGTGGTAACTCTTACTTCGTTTTAAAGATCTAGATTTACAGTATGCTATATAGATAAATATCTACCACATACCACACTTTATTTTATCACAAACGACTAGTAATCTGAGTACCCGTCTAGAGATTTGGCTGTTGAACCGGAAACAGTCTGATATCAGTATATTTTCCTGTTAGCATGCCCTTTAATAGTTGATACCTGATATGGAACCAAATATTTACTTTAAAACTACTGCAAAATTTAGTTCTTTGACATTTGAAGCGCTGAGGCATCCGTATATTTTCATTAATTTATGATGCAGATGAATTTTAGTTGTGTTATCTATCATCTCCAGGATACCAATTGTACAAGTTTTAATTATATGTGGTCCATTCTGTAAATATTGTTGATTGTGACTAAAATTATGGCTTTACTGATTTAATTTGGAATATGTTTTCTGATTAAAATACTAATTTTGATGTCCTGCACAGCAGATCGAAGCATTTTTAATTTATTTACTATTTCTATTATATTGCTGTTTAAATTTGACTCTAATTCTAATTCTAATTTGTAAAATGCTTTCCTGTCTCAAATTCAATACCGGGACTTACGTGTTCAGACACTAAACACCAAAGCCCGGGGTCCCCAAGTAAGCAAGTAAGAATAAGATAGAGAGAGAGTTGCAAGTTCAAAAATTGTGAATAGTTGAGGGTTAAGCTTTTCTGTTAATTGTGATCACATCATCGAAGAAGTCAACATACAACGTCAAATAGTCTAGAACCTTCTAAATGTGACTCTACCGTACACGCGGTAACAATTAAGTATTGAATCTATCATCTCGCGCACGCGAGTTCTTCTCGTACAGTTGCACCTGAGATTTCTCGCGAATCTCGCAATTCGGATGACACCCACTATAGTGAAGCGGCAGTGGGGGTCACCGCGTGATACAACATCAAATATTGTTTATAGGATCAAAACAAGTTTTGTGAAAACAAGTTTTAGGAAAACAAATTTTAATGTTGGTACTTAATAATAACAATCAAAACATATCGCATATTATAGAAATATAGCGGCGCGTTGTTTGGCTGCATCAGTAAGGTTAGGTGAAGGTGCACCGCACATTAATAAAAACACACGCGGTGATCACTTGTCATACGTTGTATGACCCACCGCGCACGAGTGCGCGGCTCCCCTGTATCGTAAGAACGATATAGTAAAGTAAAAGTTAAAAAATTATGACATAACATCAACATAGTGCAGTGATACGACTGTGGGGGTAAAGTTTTTAAGAATCATACATCATACTATATTATGAGTTATTTATGCTTAATTTTGAGTTGTAGGAGTGCGGATTGTCAGGTATTTCATTTATATATACATAGTCGGTTTAAAGCTGTATATTTAGAACTCACTATTGTTGAAACTATGAAAGCAGAACGCAGATAATGGACAATATACCAACAACAATACCATTGTCATACGTTGTATGACCCGCCGCGCACGAGTGCGCGGCTCCCCTGTATCGTCGAAACTCTACACTATAGTGAAGCGACCGTGGGGGTCACCATGTGATACAACAATACCAAGGACCAGAGTGCCGCATATTGACTTTTCCGAATCTGTTTTTACCGAAGGCTCATATATTCACCAGTTACTCATGCTTTTGATTGAAATAAATTTTCGTGCACATACAGAATGAATGGTTAATAATTTAATATATATGTAGACCAAGGTCTGTGCACGGGATGCTTCCTGGAAGAATCCAGTTCTTTTAGCGGGGCACCCTACCTAAAGCCAAATTGAGATATAATAATCATATTCCTAGAAAAATAATCAGAAATCGAATAACAATCAAATAATATGATATGTAGGAGTAGTAACCATATTTACTATGCAAAATGCCCCAACCACATAGTGTAAATTTATATAGAATTCAAATTCCATATCATCATTAAACCTCAATAGTCAATATAATAGCCCAAGCAAAATTAAGTAACTTCTTATATACCTTACTGTCATACTAAAAATTAATTAAACATTTGAAATCTGTTAACCAGAGAATAAATTTCTAAACCTAATGCAAGTGAAATAATTTAGATGCAATAATGAATGCCTAATGTGAGTATCATCTGTCAATGTCCTTGTAAAAAAGTCTGTAAAAGAGATATGAATAACTAATATAGAAGAAAAAACAGGAAGTTGTCGTCTGTTGAAAAATAAATAAAATATCTAGAATATAAATTAGAATATAAAATAACATTCAGTCAATGTGTCGTCAATTAAACTGTACAATTATCAAATGTTAAAACTGGGTGATACAGTCACCAAAAATAAATACTAAGTATAATAAGTAAATAAATTAAATGTGGTCTATAAAACTACCACTAGGTATAATCGGTCAATAAATTAAAAGTGGTTTATAAAACTACCACTGTGCGAACCCTTTCTCCAGTTAAAACATGTCAGTCATGTGCAAAATCAATCAAAATGCTGCATGTATAGTGTAAAATCCGGATTGGAGTATTGTTTATGAGCTGCATGGTTGTAGGGAAAATTCCTAATAAGAGCATTTTTACTTGTCGCAGTAACTGGGTTAACGGGTGATACTCGTTATAAATTATTTGTTCCATCGAAGAGTCCAACTCGGCGCGCGTTCTGGTAGGTTATAAACCTACAATAACCGGGATAAATATAATTTTACACAGAATACATTGCATGTATAGTCTGATAACATTTATTTGTTTTATTCTTTATCAAGCATTCTGTAAATCGTAGTGTCGCATTTATTATAAAAGAACCAGCCAACTTCCGCATTATGATCTTTCGTGTGCCAAGTTCGTTTATAAAATCTAATCATAATAATCATAATAATAAAATTGATCCATTAATTTAAGATGAACGGTATATCATAGCTCATCGTTGTTCAAATTCGAATGATTGAATTAATCAAGTAATGTTACCTTTCAACGCAACTTAACAACAAACAAATGCTTGCTCACCAACGGTGACGTGATCGTAGGGGCATGCAGTTGGTTAGGGTAACTCTTACCCCAACGACGACGTCGAGAAATTATCAAATTATGCATTTGCGCCATACTGGACACATTTGATATTTATTTGGCGGTTGAGATATCTTATGATAATAACAAAAAAGGACCTCATTGCATTGTAGTTTTACTCAAAATGTTAGGAAGTTTCAACATACTTTAACCAACGTTTGTAAAAACTTTAGAATCAAATTAAAGTAGTTTTTGCTCATCCCTGTCTTGGTTGTGGTTCTGTTAAAATAAAACGTTCACTGCCACAAAGCTTATTTAACCGAATCCACTCTGCCTTTATGCAGCAACTGGTCTCAAAGAGCCAATATCCTAATCATGCTTTGATATCCATAAACCCATTAAATACTTGCCCTCGGATTTTGCCTGTGCATCATACAATACATTTAATACTTTCAGCACTTCTAATTAAAACACCTTATGCTCAAAGAAGCGCTTTGTTAATCTTCATTCCACTGGGCTTTTTATATGCCATGATTTTGTTATTAAGTCCATTTGATTGACATAAATTAATTTTAATTAAATGGGTTATCATAACTTTAAAAATATTTATAATATTAGAGGGGCATACTTCAGCAAAGCATTACATTGTAAGTGTACTGAAAAAATGTGTTGAATTATAAATTACAACCTTAGGAGGAGTGTGGGGACATGTCCATCTAAAATGAGGAAATCTTGATCCAGATAATACTATATTATGGCTGGGATACTGAAAAACCAGCTTGTCAAGCGACTTGCTAGGTGAGGGGGAAATATTTTGAATAAATCGTTTTATCTTGTTTCTTTTTATTGTGTTGTATTTTTGATAAGTTACGTTTTGAAACTATGAAAATGAAAAGTGGTATGTTTGAGCTAATTGGTTGATTACTGTAATTTGCTGCCGATAATGGTTTAAACCACGACTTAATTGTAATGGATGGAATTGATTTCAGCTTCACCAAGGGACTGTCAGTAGACAAAATAGATATAGACATCCTCAGTGGTCGAGGGTACCTTGACAACTTGGAACTAGATGAACAGTTCATGTCTGACGTGTTGGAGCTCCCGCCTTGGATGTACTTTACAAAGATACTCTGTAGCAAAATCAGACTCAAGGTTTACTAGACTGTTTAGTTTTTGTAAGATATGAACTTCTGTGTAACTAATTGGTGCAATTCTCAAATTGGAAATTCCTAACAGGACTTTGTCTTGATTGGTCTATGTGTACAAGTCACTGTGCAAAACTTATAAAATATATTTAAACCTAGTTTGTTTGTTTGGTTGCAAGAATTTATTAATTATATGTCTTCTCAGGTTTCGTTTACTAAGCTGAAAAGTGAGCCGATAAGAATTGTGAGTATTTTAACTTCATATTAATTTAAATGTTTATCACAGATAATTCTCCCTTACACCTTGTTTGATTGTGTGTTCCTATTTAGGTTTTATAATGGTTGTCTCTTATAGGTCTCTAATAAGTCTGAAATTAAATGATCACATTATGTGCTTCAGTTTATCGATACAGTGTTTGTTGAAGCTGAAATTGATAAGCAGTGCAACAGACCAGACATCGACGTGCAGCAAAAACTTGCGTAAGTTATGAGCATGTTATCAAATCATAATTACATACTAACATGCCGGTATCAAAATGAGTACTAATTTGTGCTGAAATTAAGATTTCAAACTGATACTCAATTTACTGTAAATCCTTTCAGAATAAATTAATATGTGATAAATAATTATTGTAACTCAACAGAGAAGCTGGACTGGCTGGTAATGGACCTACATCCTATGGTTACGTTGAACAGGTGAAACAAACCAATATTATAAACACTCTGTCCAGTGTTAATTTGTAACATGAAGTTATTTATCAAAGAATGAATTATGGTGCTCTGATCAAGATTTCAAGTCAGAAATTTGAAGATTTAATTGGTGGGTGCTGTGAGGCTAATTGGTTAATGATTGCCACGTGAGAGGATACATCATTACCAACAATAACATCCTCAATTGACTTATTATTCATTAAAGCGGCATCAGAGCCAAAGTCTCGATCAAAGCTTTCTGTCCTCTACAATATTCCCTGTTTTAGTTAACGGATTGATTTATAAACACATTATCTTGTCTCTTATATTAATTAATTAATAAAACTATTGACAGGTGATAGATGGTATGCATATAACCGTGTCCACACTACGTTTGACAGTTCAGCTCAAACACCAGTACCTCACAACTGAACTTACCGGGGTGGAACTTGTCAGTACAAACAGGTTATTTAATTAAATTAATTTGTTATTTGTTATTTGTTATTTGTTATTTGTTATTTGTTATTTGTTATTTGTTATTTGTTATTTGTTATTTGTTATTTGTTATTTGTTATTTGTTATTTGTTATTTGTTATTTGTTATTTGTTATTTGTTTAAATTTGTTATTTGTTATTTGTAATTTGTTATTTGTTATTTGTTATTTGTTATTTGTTATTTGTTTAAATTTGTTATTTGTTATTTGTTATTTGTTATTTGTTTAAATTTGTTATTTGTTATTTGTAATTTGTTATTTGTTATTTGTTATTTGTTATTTGTTATTTGTTACTTGTTATTTGTTATTTGTTATTTTTTATTTGTTATTTGTTATTTGTTATTTGTTATTTGTTATTTGTTTAAATTTGTTATTTGTTATTTGTTATTTGTTATTTGTTATTTGTTTAAATTTGTTATTTGTTATTTGTTATTTGTTATTTGTTATTTGTTATTTGTTATTTGTTATTTGTTATTTGTTATTTGTATGCTATATCTATGCTTAATCTGTTTGTTGTGTGATTAAATCATCAATTACTAATTGATGTTCGGTAGTCGTTCATTGATTTTTTAGAATTAGTATTGATACTTATGTTGACATTAATTGAAAACCTGGATGATGTTAAGGCCAGAGGGGGGGTAAGGGGTCAAAAAATTCTACCAAAATATTATTTTCTAAATCGATTTAATTTTGAATGACAAAAACATTGCCGATATTCACATATTTGTAGCTGATTAACTTTATTTTATAATTGAGGTTAACCGATTTTCACAAAATTGACTATACAACATTGAGGTTAATAAAATTGAGGTTAATATTTTATTACACGCCATAATTTTTTGTTATTTCGGTCAGCAAATGTAAACTCTAAATTTTAGGTTCATAATTATCAGAAAAAGTAATATCCAAACGTGATTAAATGAGGTTAACCTCGTCTTTTAGATATAGCGAGAATAGATCAAATGATAGAGTTACTATTTTCATCGTAAGTTTACGGTATACACATTTCTAAATAGATGACGTGTCGATTGACTTTCTTTTATCTTGGGAAAATTTAAAAAATGAGGTTAACCATCACATTTTGGTACCGTAGGGAATATACATACGATTCTTACTTATGTAATGTACCACAATATCGAAGTGAGGTATCTATTGGTATCACAATGCCTACAACTATAATCACGTGACAAAGGTGATTTGAACTGACCATATTTTAGTAGAAGATTTTACCCGTAAATGGCTAAAAAATGAGGTTAACCTCTCATTTTTTGAATATCTGACCAGTCAATTACATGTTAACCTCAAAAACTTAATCGTTATACTGTGCAAATGTTTTACTACATATATAATAACATATTGATAAACCAATCCCACTATTATATGGTCTAAAGCGAGGTTAACAACCAAATTTTAAGCAGTTAGTGTTTACAGGAAGTCTTGGTTAACCTCATTTTTTACAATACAAGGACATTAACTACTGAAAGTGGCTAAAATCATTTAGGGAACGGCCAGGTCTGATCAAGCAAACGTTATTAAGTGTATAAAAAGTCCTAACTAACGAACTGTGATACATTCCATCATCCTCTCACTCACCATCACTGCCCAATCAAATTTATGCAATCAAAATCACTATACACCCATAATCATATGATCAAAACACCAAGCTTTGAAATATACTTTTTTCTGTTTGAGATTTGAATAACGTTACTGTAATGTTCCAAATTATATTTTAAATGTTTAAATGTTCCAGTGAATATTCAAAATTTTGAAAACACTAAATTGCATCTATCTCAAAACACATTTTTTGACCTTTCGATTCCTTAGTTGAGAAAACTGGCCACTCTCTGATCTTGAGATTTGGTACAGTGGTTCCTTGGACAACTATCTAGATATCTGGTGCAGCGATTTTTTTTATTTGACTCAGTTCTCGAATTATGAGGTTAACCAATTAAATTTTTCGAATTTTTGACCTGGTTAACCTCATAATTTGAGAACAGAGTCAAATAAAAATAATCGCTGCACCATATGTGAGGATAATTGTCCAAGGAACCACTGTACCAAACCTCAAGATCAGGGATTGGCCGGTTTTCTCAACTAAGGAATCGAAAGGTCAAAAAAGTTAGAGCCGTTTAAAGTTCCAGTTTAACATGTAATTACAGGTAAACCTCAAAATTGAGCGCGCGATATCTCAGAAGCGCAAGGTCAGATTTTGATCCGGTTTTTTTCTTTTTGTTCGTTTTCAGTAGCTATTATCAAATATGCTAAAACTACAAAAGTGCCATTTACCCCCCCCCCCCCCCCCCCCCCCCCCCTCTGGCCTTAAGAAACGTCATGGTGGTCTACAAATTGAAGATTTGATTGAAGAGTGAACAGCAGTCCGCCGTCCGGTATTATTTAACAGTCAATCACAGAAATATCAACATTCAAAGAAATTATGGCTTACTTTATTCATGTTGATAAAATTCCACAATCTCACGATGCATTCTGCCAATTTAATCTCTTTAATTTGAACTTGTTTTTTAGATTAACCTCTGTGTGAGTATGACACACATTTCAACTGAGCTGGTTTAAAGATTTTAAATTAAATTCTTTAATTTAATGAAGTTATTAAGCCTTCGCAAAAGTCTTAATTCTTCACTTTTGCTAACTATTATATTGTCTGCCATGCTGTGTGTTGTGATTAAATCTTTCTACCAAACAAATATACGGACCTGAAACTATGTCAAGTATTTGCTCTGCAAATTAAATGTCTGCGCACATCTAGAACATTCTCTCTGCATTAGGAGGTTTGAACCTGTAAAGGAGTTGAGCAAAACCCGCTCTTACCTACTCGCGAGACACTTAAAGACCCTGAAACAAGCCCTGAAGTCGAGACATAGCAAACAGTAAGATAGCAAACATGGTAACCGTGGTAACCATGGTAACCGTGGTAACCATGGTAACCATGGTGCCTGCTAAATTGGTGTTGTGCAGCTGAGTGGAAATGCTGTTCATGATATTTAGGTTTAGTGACGATTTTCAGAGAAGATGTGTTTTGTTAAACACAAATATTATAGTTATCAAATATTATTGATATTTGCGTACTAGACCCTAACGTTTACCTTATTAAGACCCCTACTCAAATGATACGTTTGTATAATCCTCGAATAATTGTATTATTGTGCTGCGAATCCTTCTTATGTCGATGTCTACCCAAAGCATACACTTTTCCTGAGAATCGTCAAGTTTGTAGGATCCCAATAGTGAGTTAGCATGGCATAGCAGTCACCTTTGAGGAGTTACTATTTGCAGTTTGGTTACAATTTCAAGCAATTATTAATTATTATGGTGTACTCAGCGAGAAGCACGCGTTTTTTTAACACTTCAAATTTGGTAATATTCGTTTTGTAATTATGTTTCATAATCAATACTATTAAATATCAGTAAACCCCTGGCTACCGCCCTATGTTGCGACAGCACCTTAACCAGCACCCTAACCCATGATAACCGTGTCGTAATATAGTTCTGTCGCAACAATATGTGGTTACCAATAATATTCATTTACAGCCTGTCTTAAGAGGGTTATTTAAATAGGTATTTAACTTCAATCACTCAACCAAAGCCGGCATTTTCGATTCACCAGGAAAATTTGTCCAATATCGCATTTTCCTACAATCCTGGTTGAATGTTTTATTAAATTTAAAATTTGAGATCTTTAAAAATAAAACCAATCCACTCTTGGTCATCCATCTCTAATCTCTATTCGGTAAAAACCGAGTACTGCTTAGTGCTTATTACACATCATTACTATATAATTACTATATAATACTACTGTAAAGTGTAAATCTGTTAAACTACAAGTACTGCTTATTGCACATGACTACTGTTAACCTCATGGAATGCCATTTACTGGAATGTGCCCTATCATTTGTGCACACAAGGTTTTAAGTCAGCTACTTGTCTTCTGTCTAGCTATTATATGATGCAGCATAATGTATGGCCTACTAGAATAGCCTATTATATCGACTTAAATAACGTTTATAAGCGATATTCTAGTATAAGTATAAGTTTAAGTATAAATACTAATGATTAGACATGTAATGGACATAGGACAATGATTTGGGTTTTTGGCATGAAATTGATAAGGAGGATGAAATACAGTGCTTATTTTCTGTATTTATTTTCTGGTTGGACTATCAAATATTTCCAACTCTCATCTCATTCTAATTTCTTGTTTTCCCTAAGTGATAACAAGCAAAGTATTTAGTGTATGTGCTTATTGTTAAAAATACTCCAATAGGAGAATAGAGCTGGCCATGATTCGCACTGTAGTGACTGTACGTGACTATCAAATACCTGTCTTAATTTGATGAACATATTATTTCTATTTGGTACTAGTCAGTCGTAGTTCATGTTTAAAATATGCAAAATATGATAGGCGATGAAAGTGTAAACAATAGATACATTATCAATACCATGAAAGAATGCTTGTATCATTATGAATACCTATCATGTTTGAATACCATAATGAAATGTCACGAATTATTCAAATGAATGTCGCGAAATAACATCACTGCTGAATATACAGGAGCACTGAGCAGCTGACAGTTTTAAGTCACATAGTATAAGAACTGCTGTTCGACTAAACTGTAATGAATTGTCTTTGGTCAAACTTTAATCTCACGATTGAATGACTAACACATGGATGAAATTTAAACACGAATACAAATATTTATGTTTATGAAAGCTTTATATGACTATTATATATGAGTTGAATAAGAATATTTTCAAAATTCGTAGGAAACGAAACAGGCGTGTTTTTAACATTGCTTGAATGTTATGTCGACACTAACATGTGCACATATTAAGAATATGTTAAACTTAAAAGCAGTGGTCATAGGTCAGCAGTTGTATTTCTGAACTTTTCGAGCTGTATTTACAATTTATATTAATCATACCGGAATGAGTTGTTGTTGAGATTTTCAGGAAATAATCAGAACATTCCGTAATTAAAATATAATCTCCTTCAGGAAGTGGAAGCCGGATGATTTGAGGCGAACCCGAGCATTTGTAATGCCAGGAAGGGAGGAGGTGCTAGTTTATAAGATGTTAACTGTCAATCATGTGAGTAAATCTTGTGTGTCTGTCTGTCTGTCTGTCTGTCTGTCTGTCTGTCTGTCTGTCTGTCTGTCTGTCTGTCTGTATGTATGTATGTCTGTCTGTCTGTCTGTCTGTCTGTCTGTCTGTCTGTCTGTATGTCTGTCTGTCTGTCTGTCTGTCTGTCTGTCTGTCTGTCTGTCTGTCTGTCTGTCTGTCTGTATGTCTTCTGTCTACATCTGTCTGTCTGTCTGTCTGTCTGTCTGTCTGTCTGTCTGTCTGTCTGTCTGTCTGTCTGTCTGTCTGTCTGTCTGTCTGTCTGTATGTCTGTCTGTCTGTCTGTCTGTCTGTCTGTCTGTCTGTCTGTCTGTCTGTCTGTCTGCATGTCTTCTGTCTGTCTGTCTGTCTGTCTGTCTGTCTGTCTGTCTGTCTGTCTGTCTGTCTGTCTGTCTGTCTGTCTGTCTGTCTGTCTGTCTGTCTGTCTGTCTGTCTGTCTGTCTGTCGGTATGTCTGTATGTCTGTCTGTCTGTCTGTCTGTCTGTCTGTCTGTCTGTCTGTCTGTCTGTCTGTCTGTCTGTCTGTCTGTCTGTCTGTCTGTCTGTCTAAATTGAGAAGAATATGCTAGATAACCAGTTTTAAATCCCAGGCAAAGTTTGAATTTTTCGACAAAACACGGAATACCTTGAACGACATGTCGGCAGCCCCGCCCCTTAAGTTCAACTTCAACATGATACAGCTCCTCATTACCATGAAGAAGAATGTAGCTACCAACCAAGTGGGTCCTGTTGTTTTAAATAAATAATAAGCGGCGTTTAAAACACTACTATTAACAATTATTAGTGACACTTGCGTCTTGCACTCAGTAGTGTGAAAACTGAAAAGTAATATTATTATTATTATCACCACGCAAAAATGTGTTTGATAAATGGTACATGTTAGTCTATCTTGTATCTTTCATAATAAGTACTGATCTTATCACCAGTCTCAATAGTATTTCATCCTTAATTCTATACGTCATATCAATTCTGTATATATCTCACACAAAAGGAGACTCCTCATCACAGTCGTCAATTTATCATCTTGAAACTTGATTTAGGACAACTGTAGAAATATCAACATTCAACAAGAGACTCTAGTTGAATGTTGATCTTGTCAAGAGTACGAATATTACGTAATAAAAACCAAAACATGTTCTAAAATATCACCTCATATCATCCAGCCAAGTCTATTGAGATTATAGCTTGGTCTTCAGATTTAGCAAATTAGCATGGTCGCTATGTTAATCGTGTACTCATTACATTACTATATTCCTCATTAATCTCCGTGCACGAATACTGCAATTGTGATGCAAATTGTGTATTCTGTCTGGACAGTACTAAATCATCTAAACTTACACATCAAGATTCAAGCTATACTTACACTTAAATCTATACTTTTAAGTGTGTGTAATATGATCCCAGGTAAGATAATTGGTCACATCGTTATGTAACTTAATAATAGTCAGGTAATCTTGAGAACATAAGATAACCTCTTTCATTTCACTTTGTGTTTACACTAATTGAAGTACTAGTGTAGGAGAATTTGTGTGATAATTATTAGGATAATCACGAGTCATTATTATTTTATACTTGTGCTAAACTAGGGAGTGGTGAGCAGGCACTGCAACTGTAGCGAGCAGGCACTGCAACTGTAGCGAGCAGGCACTGCAACTGCAGCGAGCAGGCACTGCAACTGCAGCGAGCAGGCACTGCAACTGCAGCGAGCAGGCACTGCAACTGCAGCGAGCAGGCACTGCAACTGCAGCGAGCAGGCACTGCAACTGCAGCGAGCAGGCACTGCAACTGCAGCGAGCAGGCACTGCAACTGCAGCGAGCAGGCACTGCAACTGCAGCGAGCAGGCACTGCAACTGCAGTAGCGAGCAGGCACTGCAACTGCAGTAGCGAGCAGGCACTGCAACTGCAGTAGCGAGCAGGCACTGCAACTGCAGTAGCGAGCAGGCACTGCAACTGCAGTAGCGAGCAGGCACTGCAACTGCAGTAGCGAGCAGGCACTGCAACTGCAGTAGCGAGCAGGCACTGCAACTGCAGTAGCGAGCAGGCACTGCAACTGCAGTAGCGAGCAGGCACTGCAACTGCAGTAGCGAGCAGGCACTGCAACTGCAGTAGCGAGCAGGCACTGCAACTGCAGTAGCGAGCAGGCACTGCAACTGCAGTAGCGAGCAGGCACTGCAACTCTAGTAGCGAGCAGACACTGCAACTGCAGTAGCGAGCAGGCACTGCAACCAAGGCGAGCAGGCACTGCAACCAAGGCGAGCAGGCACTGCAACCAAGGCGAGCAGGCACTGCAACTGCAGTAGCGAGCAGGCACTGCAACCAAGGCGAGCAGGCACTGCAACCGCAGCGAGCAGGCACTGCAACCAAGGCGAGCAGGCACTGCTGTCACTGCAACTGCAGCGAGCAGGCACTGCAACTGTGTAACAATGTTACACTGCAGTGTTACACTGCAACTGTGTAACAATGTTACACACTGCAACTGTGTTACAATGTTACACTGCGGTGTTACACTGCAACTATGTAACAATGTTACATTGTATTGTTAGTAGATGTCAGCTGTGTGTTTCGAAGATAAAAAAGTTGATGGTACTTACTTAGTTTATTGATTAGATTAAAGATATTAAGTGACATGTTATTTACTATTTTGCTGAAGTGAGTCATAAAATTCTTCAGTCAATAAGAACGGAGATGGAACTATCATGAATAAAGTCAAATTTTATTCAGCTATACATCGATACATATAAAGAATCAGTAAATCAAATCATAAGACTGTTAGTAGGAAATACAGAATACAGATATATATACGTACATGTATATATATTATGTATACATATAGATATTAAATATTATAATTGTGGATAAAATAAAACGGTCGAGGTAAACTAACAACTTGTCGTCAATTTATCTATTTACATTTTACATATTATTTTGTAAATAGATAAATTAAGTTTACCGTTTTATGTTTAAATTTTATTCATGGCAGAATCTAAAATAATTCATAATATCTGTATCTCCCTAGTAAGGAGGATTATCAACATTATTATGATCTGATTTGCCGCATCCTTTATATTATTACCAGATTTTACGGTATTTTGTATAGTTCATGGATAACTTATATTAAAATGTATTCTAATTAATTCAATTTACATAAAATATCAATGCATTGACTTAGCATTACACTGCTTCATGAGCAGTGTTATTTTATGATGATACTACTAAAAACATCAACATAATAATCACCTTTAGTAAACTATTTAACACACTTGACACTGTAGTAATAGATACCAGTAACAATAAAATTACAAAGTGAATTAATTAGTGTCGTGGTTATAAGTGGTTACAGTGCGTCATCAGTACGTCATCAGTGCATCATAAGGGCGTGGTCAGTATGTTGTTTATATAATGATGATGGAAGTCATGTACACACCAATCTTAAGATTCTACACTCGTTTATCTTGGGGCGACTGCGGCTGCAAACCATCATTACTGACTTGTTGACTTCATATCAAACGTCTACTAACACTCATCACAACTGTCTAGTGTTTATATAATGTTCTATAGTACGTACTAATTTAAGTAATAACCAGTAATATAATATAAGTAGTGCGTAGCTAAATAGTGTTTACAGACGAGTGGTTAAAGTACCGTGTAACCAGTGGTTAAAGTACCGTGTAACCAGTAACCACATTTAATTACACCTGACCATCCTAATAACTTAATAACCCGTTACAATTGTGTAATGAGAAAATGAGTGACCTTCGACGCGACTGACAAATCAGTATGATTAATCTTCTAAGTTAGCAGCTGCTCAACAAGCTGAATCATGGGTATATGTAGAAATATGTAGAAAAATGTAGAAATATGTAGAAATATGTAGTATTTCAGAAGATATATCTGGTTATAGATGTGGATCCTGGTAGTGAAGCAAGTGTTTTGACACGTGACAGCAATAAACCAATCAGCTTCCACTGTAAACCAATCAAACTCCAGGACTACTGTCACCTCTCCACAAGAATCCACGTATAATATTGGTCACTTAACTTCTATCTTTTATGTTTTATCGACTTATTTTTTAGCAACAGTCCCCTCTTTCTTTCATTCAAATTTCTGATTGTTTCTGAATAGACTCAGTAGACTCAACTGAGGCTATTCAGAAACAATCAGAAATTTTAATAAAAGAAACATAAAATCATGAGAATCAATAACAATACACATCTAAATCAGGTTCCCCTCTTTGGGATCTGTTTTGAAACACTAGTGTATATTAAACGAGAAGTAGAAAACCTTGGGTTTAATCGTTGTAATTCAGAGCACATCACACAGGACTGTACTAAATATGTTAGTTGTTCTCACATGATGAAATATATGTTGACGTAGTTGAGTCGGTGAGGTGCCCATGTAACTATTAACATAACTAGGAGCCTGTCCTGTGAGCATATCACACAATTATTATTGTATATTGTACTGTTAATGGTTAAGATAATTCCTGTGGGGTGGCTAGTATCTCAAATTTGGCACATAAAAATTTGGCCGAACTTGCACAGATTATCCGTCTTACTATCTGAAAAGTTTCAAGATAATCGTATTGTAAAATCCGACAGCAACTATTGCAATTGTCCGAAAAACCTAATTTCGGATTCGGACAAGAGTCGCCCAATTGCTGGCTTGTAACTTACCAGCCGAGTAATTCATTGCGAGTGCCATGTGCTGATTGGTTGCCCTGTTAGTGCCATGTGCTGATTGGTTGCCCTGTTAGTGCCATGTGCTGGTTGGTTGCCCTGTTAGTGCCATGTGCTGATTGGTTGCCCTGTTAGTGCCATGTGCTGGTTGGTTGCCCTGTTAGTGCCATGTGCTGGTTGGTTGCCCTGTTAGTGCCATGTGCTGGTTGGTTGCCCTGTTAGTGCCATGTGCTGGTTGGTTGCCCTGTTAGTGCCATGTGCTGGTTGGTTGCCCTGTTAGTGCCATGTGCTGGTTGGTTGCCCTGTTAGTGCCATGTGCTGATTGGTTGCCCTGTTAGTGCCATGTGCTGGTTGGTTGCCCTGTTAGTGCCATGTGCTGATTGGTTGCCCTGTTAGTGCCATGTGCTGGTTGGTTGCCCTGTTAGTGCCATGTGCTGATTGGTTGCCCTGTTAGTGCCATGTGCTGGTTGGTTGCCCTGTTAGTGCCATGTGCTGATTGGTTGCCCTGTTAGTGCCATGTGCTGGTTGGTTGCCCTGTTATTTCTTGCACTCTGTCACTAGGTCGCATGCAGCAAGACTAACAGCTGATCAGAGCTCCAACCGGATATCAGAGCTGAGTAGAGCAACATTTAAATAGGTTGCTCACGTGATCCTCCCGCAGTTCCTGGATTTAGAGCCTTTTTAGTCGATTTAAAAGGTTAAATATGCTCTGCGGAAGCTTCCTAAGCTCTTTAAGAAATTCAATCAGTGCAAGTTTTGACAGAACAATGAATGAATTAAATGGTTCCTTTTAGGGAGTTTTTGCCCCTGGATGTTACAGTAATCGTGTCTCCTTCTTTTTCCCTGTTGCAACATTGTTACAATGTCGCAAGTTAATTAAATAGGTTTATCAATCAGGCTTGCAAGGTGCACAGCTGCAGACTGCAGAGGAACCCTTTTATGGTATATTAGCATTATAATACAATTTATAAAGTTATAAATAGAGTGGATAATGAAATACATATTTCTCAACATACAAACATCGTCCTATTACCTATAGCTATCTTATTATAATATGTTGTAGATCACACCACCCTACAAACAAGAAGGAAAAACAATATAACACTTTCATGTGTAGACCAGTAATTTAGAGGAAAATCAACAATTTGATTATTTCCTTATCTACAAAGTACGAGTATTTTTTTGGTCATTTTCCAAAAAATATAAAATTATTATCAGAAGATTTTCAATGAATATCAGGATTGTGAGAGGTCCGAGGTCGTAAGCTTTAGGGTCAGGGTCAGGGTCAGGGTCAGGGTCAGGGTCAGGGTCAGGGTCAGGGTCAGGGTCAGGGTCAGGGTCAGGGTCAGGGTCAGGGTCAGGGTCAGGGTCAGGGTCAGGGTCAGGGTCAGGGTCAGGGTCAGGGTCAGGGTCAGGGTCAGGGTCAGGGTCAGGGTCAGGGTCAGGGTCAGGGTCAGGGTCAGGGTCAGGGTCAGGGCTATGGTAGGGATTCGATCCGCCAACCTGAACTATAAGTATTAAGAATTTCATCAGAATTGCTAAATCTAAATCTCAACGTTTTGCCTTCAGGTGGTTTCAGCATGCTTGAAGCTGATATTGGATGACATTCTCGTAGTTTTCACTCCGTTACAGTTACAAGTTCTACTCACCTTCTCAAAGGAGCTATCAGAGGTTTGTAAAGTGGAATATTGTCAGCTTAATTAATTTATAACTTTTAAACATATTATTATTGCAGTCATGAAAAATCGATATTATTAATATTCTTCGGCTTATTAAGGATCTTCTCCCGAAAATTTGGTTGAATAAAGCTTTAAATGAAGAGTAAAAGTTCTTGATACAATTAATACTTCACTTGACGCTATACTATACGCTATAGCTATTAGCTATTGTATCGTTTCCCCTTTTAGTGGAACGCCAGTTTCACTAAAAGATAAGCCTGAGTTGTGATTCGTATTGGCCATTCGATATGTTCTGTACTTTATTTGGTAAGATGTCTTTAACATCGTAGATCCCACTGTACCTTTGCACTGCATCGAACTCGACTAATTGAATAGCAACTTGTAAACTTGCTGGAACATAAGGAAATCTGAGTAAATTAACAAATTACCTAGTAAATGATACAGTGGTAACTGGTAAATGGTAGTACTACTTCGCCTGCTACTGTACATATTATATGTAATGAGCAGTTCAATTACATAATTAGCAGTGTGGCCGAATTTGAATGATTCGCTGGGGCCGTGTTCTAGTTCGCGACCTGTGCACTGCAATTTAACAGCCTTCTGCCACTGTGAAGCAATCTTTGCAATTTGTACGGTGTAATTGTCTGAAAGTACTCCTCGTGTACCTTTTAAACCTCATAAAAGTTAAATCAGAGCCAGACCATGTATATAGGATATCCATTTTTCATAATTTCATAATCTGCGATTTTTGCCCTTTTTGCCGAAACATATTTGGAACGCGCCATGTCGCCAATAGAATATTTGCGCACGAGAATTCTTGGTGTATACATTGTAGATTAGTATTTAGTCTCGATCGATTGAACGGCTGTTCAGAACGTCTATTTCTGCGATTCTAATTACCTTACTCGGGAATATTATAGCGGGTTAATTTATGACTGGGAAAATTAATAACCGGGAAAAATATGGCGGAATTTCCCAAAACCCGCCAAATTATCCCGGTCATGTATTTACCGGTGGCCGACCTTTCAAGATTTTTTCAGAGGTCAACAAATTTTCAACCGAAATTTCTGTTTTTGTTACTTGTTAAAGAAGTTATTTCAATTTACAGTTACTGATATTACTCAGAAATAGAAAAAAAGACACGTCTAGTATTTAAAGGAAAATAAATCTATAGCAATAATAAGTCAAATCTTCATTAAAGCGTATTCTCATTCTCATTATCGCTAATGTCCCCTGCATTATCATTATTGATATCCCCCTGCTGCTGACCGTCAAATTCGAAGTTGTATTGTTGGGGGGGGGGGGGGGGGTAGATTTTTGTAGATATTTGGATAATGTCATCCACTTTTTTCGTGAATCATCCATTACAATAATCTACAAATATCTACACTTATCTACAAAAAATGTATATCTCAATTATGTGGCCAGAAATTCTACTGAATTTTTGGAGATAAATGTATAAATTTGTAGAATGTCATCCACTTTTTTCGTGGATTATCCATTCTACATTAATCTACAAATATCTACAAATATCTACTTGGCTCCCCCCCCCCCCCCCCCCCTATTGTTGTCTTAACAAGACTTTCATTTTGTCCGCTAATGGGGCTACTGCTCTGAAGGTCAGCCGGAGCTTAATTTCCTGCCCACCGCTTGGTATTGGGGAACGTCTTGGCTTTGCATCTTCAACTGCTCCAGTAATCAATCCACCGTGGACCATGAAATAGTGGCACAGTTTACTCACTTCATGGGCAAGAAAAGTGAGAATCACGGTCCACCCTGAAATCTGATTTCTATAACCAAATTGTGATTTTTATAACGAAATTATGGTAGCAACCGCCAATAAAGTTACAGCCCTCCATCCACTGCTTCAAAAGTCTTCTCTAGCACATATGAGACTTCAGGTAAAATATGATGATCACCACCCCCTTGGAACCCCATAATCTGAGTCGGCGGGTTTTTTTATGACTGGTGAAATTTTTGACCGGGAAAAATATGGCGGAATCTTCCAAAACCCACCACTTTATCCCGGTTATAATAATCCCGAGTAAGGTAGACAGGATTACCCTAGGATTTATCCTAGCGCGTCCGAGATATCTCGGATTTTATCAATCCTAACGCCGATCCAGTCCCCCCAGGATACCTCCGATGAATTCCTATCGCCGAGCGGCGATAGGATGTGTAAGTTCCGAGAGGCGATAGGATTTGCTCTCGGACCCGATAGGAAATTAAAAACCTATCGGATCCGAGCGCTAATCCTAGCGGAGATAGGATTTAACAATTCCGAGTGCCGATAGGATTTGCTCTCGGACCCGATAGGATACTCAAATCCTATAGGATCCGAGAGCAAATCCGAGAGGCGATAAAATTTCAAATATCAGGACCGATATAATTGGAAGACGACGCATATCTAACTGTAGGTTGAAACTTCATGCTTTCTGTCAGTTAACTTCAGGATCATATCATCGCTTTATCTTAAGTTGATCCACGGTTGCCTGCAGGCTACAACAACATGGAGGTTGTTTAGGTTAAATTAAGTAGATAAATGATAACTTGAAGCTAACTTGTAGTTCTCTATAAGAGTTAACTCTAGGATACCTTGTAGTACTCTTCAAGTTAACTTCAGGATACCTTGTAGTACTCTTCAAGTTAACTTCAGGATACCTTGTAGTACTCCTCAAGTTAACTTCAGGATACCTTGTAGTACCCTTCGATTCAAGTTAACATCAGGATACCGTGTAGTACTCTTCAAGTTAACTTCAGGATACCTTGTAGTACTCTTCAAGTTAACATCAGGATACCGTGTAGTACTCTTCAAGTTAACATCAGGATACCTTGTAGTACCCTTCAAGTTAACTTCAGGATACCTTGTAGTACCCTTCGATTCAAGTTAACATCAGGATACCTTGTAGTACTCTTCAAGTTAACATCAGGATACCGTGTACTACTCTTCAAGTTAACTTCAGGATACCTTGTAGTACTCTTCAAGTTAACATCAGGATACCGTGTAGTACTCTTCAAGTTAACATCAGGATACCTTGTAGTACCCTTCAAGTTAACTTCAGGATACCTTGTAGTACCCTTCGATTCAAGTTAACATCAGGATACCTTGTATTACTCTTCAAGTTAACATCAGGATACCGTGTAGTACTCTTCAAGTTAACTTCAGGATACCTTGTAGTACTTTTTGAGTTAACTCTAGGATACCTTGTAGTACTCTTCAAGTCAACTTCAGGATAACATCTACAAAGCCGCCATATAGCTTTCTTCTTTTTATGATTAATATTATATTTTTACCTATAGTTTACCTCGATTGTAGTACTCTTCAAGTTAACTTCAGGATACCTTGTAGTACTTTTTGAGTTAACTCTAGGATACCTTGTAGTACTCTTCAAGTCAACTTCAGGATAACTTGTAGTACTCTTCAAGTTAAATCCAGGATATCTTGTAGTACTCTTCAAGTTAACTTCAGGATACCTTGTAGTACTTTTTGAGTTAACTCTAGAATACCTTGTAGTACTCTTCAAGTTAACTTCAGGATAACTTGTAGTACTCTTCAAGTTAAATCCAGGATATCTTGTAGTACTCTTCAAGTTAACTTCAGGATAACTTGTAGTACTTTTTGAGTTAACTCTAGGATACCTTGTAGTACCCTTCAAGTTAACTTCAGGATAACTTGTAGTACTCTTCAAGTTAACTTCAGGATACCTTGTAGTACCCTTCAAGTTAACATCAGGATACCTTGTAGTACTCTTCAAGTTAACATCAGGATACCGTGTAGTACTCTTCAAGTTAAATCCAGGATAACTTGTAGTACTTTTTGAGTTAACTCTAGAATACCTTGTAGTACTCTTCAAGTTAACTTCAGGATAACTTGTAGTACTGGGGGGGGTCCAACCCGATGTCCGATATGAGGGTTGATGAGGCCAAAATCGGAATCGGAAAAATCGGAAAATTGAGAAATTTACAGAATCGATCTCTAAAACCTCTCAGAAGTGATATAATTCAACCAGAACCCCTACATATGCTATATTGTTATAAGAAAACAAACCAATTGGACATTCCAATAGTATGTTTTATGTGTTTTTCCACTGCAGGGGCTTATTAGTATGCTCACTACTAGTTGGAGTTGTCATGTACTCCCAGACCCGAGTGCTTTGGCCTTTTGACGTGACATCGATTGTCGGATTGTTTCTGCTCATTAATTTTATCCCTGTTACTTGTTATTATGTATTAGTACAACACTAGGTACCGGGTTATATTTTGTGGTCCGGTCTTTAAACATACCATGATATCACTAGTACACTGCACCTTAAATGTATACCAGTAGTAGTCAAGTACATTTGTATCGTAACACATGCTTGGCTGGGGGATCATGTTTTGTGTCCGTTCGGTACCCTATATTTTCAAAACAGAAAAAAAGTAGGGCGAACAAAAACGGACAAAAACAGACAAAACATTTACATGTCCTCCTCCTCCCTAGTCTTCCTCCTCCTTCTCATCAGTCCTCCTCCTCCTCCTAAGTCTTCCTCCTCCTCCTGAGTCCTTCTCCTCTTCAGTTCTCTTCAGTCCTCTTCCTGACTCCTCGTCCTCGTCCTCGTCCTTCTCCTCAGTCCTCCTCACCCTGCTCCTCAGTCCCCTCCTCCTCCTCAGTCCTACTCCCAGTCCTCCTCCTTCTCCTTCTCCTCCTCCTCCTCCTCAGGACTGATGATGAGGAGGAGAAGGAGGACTGGGGGAGGACTGAGGAAGAGGAGGACTTGGGGAGGACTGAGGAGGAGGAGGACTGGGGGAGGACTGAGGAGGATGATGAGGAGGAGGACTGAGGATGAGAAGGAGGAGAAGGAGGACTGGCGGAGGACTGATGAGGAGGTTGACTGGGGGAGGAGGACTTAGGAGTAGGAGGAGAAGGAGGAGAAGGAGGAAAAGGAGGAGAAGGAGGAGGAGGACTGAGGAGGAGGAGGAGGACTTAGGAGTAGGAGGAGAATAAGGAGAAGG